GACCTTCTACTTTACCAAAGCTTGATATCCTTCTCCAGGACTGGTCTCTCCTGGTAACATGTCCAAAGTACGTGAGACGAAGTCTCGCCATCCTTGCTTCTAAGGAACATTCTGGCTGTACTTCTTCCAAGAAAGATTGGTTCGTTCTTCTGGCAGTCCACAGTATATTCAATATTCTTCACTAACACCATAATGCAAAGGCATCAATTCTTCTTCCTTTTTTATTGCCCAGCTCTCACATGAATATGAGGCAATTGAAAACATCATGGCTTGGGTCAGGTGCACCTTAGCCCTTAAAGTGACATCTTTGCTTTTTAACACTTTAAAGAGATCTTTTGTAACTGATTTGCCCAATGCAATGCATCATTTTATCTCTTACTACAGAGTTAACCTAAGCATAAGCAGGATTCAGTACATGGGGCTACAGGAAGGCTTTCAGTTTAATATGGGGAAATAAAATTTCCCACTGAGAGCTACACTTTAAAATTAACAAATTGTTTAGGCCAGAGCAATGCTAAGTCATCTGTAGGACACAGAATGGCTTCTAGGTCATTCTGTAGGATGGGATTTTGCAGTGATTTGGCATTTTAAGAAAAAGCTGTGTCCATCTGGGTTTACAAAGCATGGGAAACACACAAAATAAGCAAATGTTGGTTGCTGCATCCAATTATTGTTCAGGAGAAGGGAGCCCTGGCCAGACTTCCAATTAAATCTAGTCCCATTCATTCACTGAACTTTTATTGAGTTCCTACTATGCCAGGGACTATCCTGCACACTGGAGATACAAAAGTGAGTAGTCTAAGTCATCATGGAGTTAACATTATGTTGGGTAAGACAGTCAATAAACACACATACACACACAATAATAACATCAGATTTGTGCTTCAAAGAAAGCTCAACAAGGTAAGAAGACAGAGTGAAGAGGTCTTGGGAGTGTGGAATTAGATTGGGCGATCAAGGAAAGCATCTCCGAAAGGAGATATTAGAAGTTAGGAAGTTAGGAGGTGAGCCACATGAAGATCAAATGGGAAGAGAGTTATAAACAGAATAACAAGTGGAACTCCCAGAGGCTGAAATGAATTTGAGTGTTCAAGGAACAGAAAGTAAGCCAGTTTGGTAAATGTTAGTGCTGTCTGCCAAATGTTCTGGTTCTCTTTCCCTCCAGGTATAACGTAGGATTTTACTACCGGGTTCTTCTGTCGTTGGGTAAGACCATGTGACTAGTTTTGGACAGCGAGCCATGAGCAGAAATGACATGCACCATTTAGAGACAGAGAATTTAATTGCTGATGTAAGATCCTCTAGAGCTGTTTTTCCCCTCTGACATAATGCTCCAGGTAGTGGCTGCTCGATCAGTCTGGATCTAGGATCAGTCTGGATCTGGGATTAAGGAATACAACAATGTGGGAACACAGCCCTCAGTTGATCCCTAATAGATATGTAACAGGAGCAAGAAATACATTTGTATTGTTTTAAGCCTCTAAGATTTGGAGTTGTTACCTCAGTATAGCAAAACCTATTCTGATACAGTGTAACTGGTACAGAGTAAACTAAAGGGAGTGGTAGGAGATGAAATCTAAAGGATAGGCAGCAGCCAGATCATGCAGTCTTGTAGATCCTAAGTCTGGATTTTACTGTGTGCAAAAAAAAAAAAAAAAAACTTTTGGAGGACTTTGAGCAAGGGAATGGCACATAATTTTAAAAACAATCACTCAGTTATGTAGGGGAAAGTCCTGGTTCAGAGCAAAAACATACTGGAATATTTAGGGGTAAAGTATAATAATGTCTACAACTAATTTTCAAATGATTCAGTAAAATGTGTGTATGTGTATGCACAAAGGTGATAAAATGCTGATTGGTGAATCTAGATGAAGTATATGGAAGTGTTCATTGCACTCTCAACTTTTCTGTGGATTTAAATTTTTTTAAATAAAAAGTTGGGGAAAAATCACTAGAGAACTATGAGGTGAGACAGAAGCAAGTAAGACCATTAGGAGGCTGCTGCGGATGAGATGAAGTGGTTTGGGTGAGTGTGTCAATGGAGTCAGTGGTGAGAAAAAGGTGGGTTTAGAATCTATTTTGTAGGTGGAACGAGCAGGATTTGCTGATAGACTGGCTGTGGGATGTGAAGGAAAGTGAGGAGTCAATAGTGTTGGTTAGGTTTTTGTCCTGAGCAAGTGGGGGATTGGTGATGTCATTAACTGAGATAGGATAGCAGGAGGAAGGACAGATTTAGAGGATGGGAAATCATGATTCTACTTTGGACATGATAAACGGTGTATTGCCTATTAGCATTCAAGTGGAGACTGAACTGGCAGTTGGATAAATGAGTCAGTTCAGAAAATGGCAGAAGCTGTAAACATAAAATCAGGAATTATCAGCATCTAGATGGCATCCAAAGCCGTGGGCTGAATAAATCGCCTAGTGAGGAAGTATAGGTGGAGAAGAGGGCCAGGACTAAACCCTGGGGAACTGGAGCATGAACAGACTGGGAAGAGAATCCTGCAGTTTACCTGGTTTCTCCCATTCTGATTCCATGCTTTCTCAGCAATCATCTGATTATTACTTGACTTCTCACATAGGTCTACCCACAAGAAAAGGATGTATTGGTCATACGGACTTTGAATATTCTAGTTCTTGGGACAGTTCTCATTGTAAATAAATTGATCAAACTCACAAGCTGGGTTAGTATGAGTCAGCTGCTGAAATAGAGCCACTCTCAGCCTGCTGACAAAATTTGATGGTTAGTCTGCCTAAGGGTAGTCAGACCTGGGACTGTGGAAATCCCCTGAAGAAACTACGCTGCTTGCCTGAATTCTTAGCTCACATCTCTTTGGAGACTGCCAAAGGAGAATGTTCTCGCATTTCCAGAACCACTGGGAATATTCTCTTTTGGTTGTATCCCCCCACCTTTTAATTGTCAAAGTTCTATTGATTCACCTCTGTGTCTCTTACACAGTTTCTTTCATTACTGATCTTGTATTTCCGAGGCCAAGTTTTGCATTACTTTATCACTATTTGGGGAACATTCTCTATGTGTCTGCTCTAGATTTATTTTTAAATTTTTATTTCATTTTTGAATATACAATATTCAAATTGTTCAAAGATCAAAATGATATAAAGTATACAGTGAGAAATCTCCTTCAATCACCTCCCTATCCACCTGTTCCTCTCCATACTAGCCCCCCCTTTTAGTTTGTGTATCCGTGTAGTTTAGCTTGTTACAAACCTTTTGCAAACAAAGCTGCAATGAATAACCTTGTATATACATGTCATTTTCTATGTTTGCTCTAAGTACTGAACTATATTAACTGTGCTGTTCATTTTCTTTTTAAATCCTTCTAATAAGCTCGGCAAAATCCCTGATACAAAGAACACCCTGGAGCATCTGTTTGCTAGGCACTACACCATATGACCTCAACTAAGTGTTGGGTCCTACCTTGGTGAGCTGTTTTTCTCTGCTGTGAGGACAGGAAAGGCAAATATTCTACTTCTTTTGTGAGGAGACAAGTAATTTCTGATAAATGTTCATGCTCAAATTGTATCGCTCTCACTTTTAAAGTTTGACATGGACACCAAGGCACTTCTTATGTAACATGACTAACGTCCCTGGCTGAAATAGTTCAAGGATGTTAAAAATTCAACTATTTAATGTTTATTACTGTTTTAGGAACCAAACAAAAATGGCTTGTGCTGATCCAATGAGAAAAAATAAGGAGGTTCATAAAGGTTATCTGGGGAAGAAGTGTTTGTGCCATGCAGACTGGTATGCAATTTCAGAAAACTTAGCTGAGAAGTTAATGCATGTTTGTCCTCTTTTTCCCTTATATGGCATAGCAAATTGTATTTTCCAAAGATAGCTGCATCAATATATCCCATCACACATGTTCTTCTTATGTGATACTGACACTTCTTATCAAGTGGGGGAGCCTGGGTTCCCTACCTTTGAATCTTGGGAGACCTTTGTGACTGCCTTAACCAGTAGAATACAGTGGAAGTTGTCCAGCTGAGCCTAGACAATCCCCAGAAGCATGACAGGTAACGAAATGTTTCAAATCTACTAAATCTTGGGGTGCTTCACTGTGTAGGAATAGAAAACAAGAACATGGTCTTGACTTCTAATTGTCTTTATATTTTCCTTGGTCTTGATTCTTTGATTTTTATTCAGATTTTACCACAATTTTGTCTATTCTTACTGCAGGTCACCTCAAATCCTTTGTGGGAGATGGTGTCATAACTGCAATGTAATTACATCTTTAAGGTGCTCTCCTATCTAACATAGTGATGTAAACTTCCCAGTGTTATTCTGTAAATGATAAGAATGACCCATGAAAGCTTTATCACCGTATTAGAGGGATTTTTTTTTAAATAACTACTTTGTGTTGAACTGTTCTACATTTTCTGCTCCTTCTCCCCAAAATATATCATTAGTCCATGAAAATTTGATAGAAATAATCATGACTGAATGACTAATCATTGAACAAACAGTTCGTCAACAGACATTTATTGGATACCTATTGTGAACCAGATATTGGACCAGGTGCTAAGCATGCGAAGATTCAGTTCCATCTTACAAACAGGCTCTTGGACTAATGACCATTTATGGCTATTAAATGCCTACTATATGCAAGGCACTGGGTGTGTCTGAAAAAGTCTTTGAATGCTTTTGATGATGGAGGAGTATTTAATAAAACTACAACAACAAAATTTAAAAAAATACTATTTCAAAGCAGGTTTATTCTTCTATGAATCCAATATAAGAAATAGAACTAATTCTCTCCATGGTCACAGAAATGAAATATTGTGTTTTACGGCATCAACTTAAAAAAAACCTAGAATTATACTTAATGTAAAAGATGATGTGATGCTGCAGGATAGGATGTCAGTTTTTAAATATATTATTAAACAAACAAAAAGAACCACAAAACAAAACAACCAAACCTGCTGTCGTAGAAACAATTCCAACTCATGATCACCCCATCTGTTAGAGCAGAACTGTTCCATAGGGTTTTCTTGGCTATAATCTTTACGGAAGCAGATAGCCAGGCCTTTCTTCCGTAGCGCTGCCAGGTGGGTTCAAATTGCCAACCTTTAGGTTAGTAGTCCAGTGCAAACTGTGTGTGGTAAATACATTATTAGTCACCACTTACTCAATTTTAACTGTAATTAAAATTTTGTCATCAATTTTCCAAAATTCAATCCTCCCAACTCAAGTAACTATCACGTATCTATTAACCTTTGAGAAAGGTGTATAAGGACAAGAACCATGTCTGTTTTGTTCAGCACTCTATATTCAGCATCTGGCATAGTATCTGGCACACAGTAAGCACTCAATAAGAATTAGTTCAATTAGTAAATTGGAAATATGTCTTTAGAGAAATGGATTAAAGATAACGCTGTTTTATTCAACAAGCACTTTTGAATATTTGGTATAAATATAGCACTGTTTCAGGTGTTACCAGAGAACGTAAAAGTAGGAGACACTGTCCTTACCCATAGCTACATGCACGGTATTATCTGCATTTATAAACTTGTAAAATAAAATACATACATTTGTAAGTTCATGTTAGAAATAATAAATAGTTCTCAAATTATCTGTTACTACTAAAGTCTTAGCTGTGTACCAAAAACAAGTACTTCAATTATCTTTAAAAACTTTTAGCAGCCAGAAGATGAAAGCATGGATTTCATATCCTTTCTGGTATTAAATTTTACCTATAGAACTAAGTTCACAAAGCATAAAATCATATTTCTGATAACATATATTCAATGGTTTAAGTATAGGGAAAATCTATTCAGGTGTTTCCACATGAAATATAAATAAACCTGGGGCCACATAAAAGTAAAAACTAATTTAACTAATATGCTTCTTGAGAAAAATTGAGACTTTTTACTCTCTGCTTTAGAAATTACTAATAGGGAAAAAAATTATTTTAAATGAAGCAGATAATATGTTTTATATTATAAACAATTAAAATAGGAGGGCATTTTAAGACCTCACCCACATTTGAGAGAAAAGATTCTGAGTTAAATACAGAAAGGTGGAGAGATGAAGAGTGAAAAAAGAAACAGGTAAGTAGAAAGGAAGAGCTATAAAGAAACACTCTCCGAAACACAGAGACATATAAGAGGGAAGAAAAAGATGTGCTTAGCCAGAATTGGCTTCCTCTATTCAGTGGCCTTAGTATACCTCTAAAGACTTAAGTTTTAAGTCACGGTGTTTTCTAAGCAGGCTGAATTGACTTGAAAACTTGGTTTTAAAAAAAAAAAAAAAATTTCAATTTTATAGTTCATCTTCTGAATCTTGATCATAAACTTTCCGAGGCTGTCTCTTGATATTGATTACTAAATCAATGGTTAAAATTTTTGCCAAACACTGAAGAACTGAATTCAGTAACTGGTATTTACCAGCTACTGATTCCAAGCCTGTTTGAGTGCTTAACACGGGTTGATTGGTTTGCAGTGCATGGAGAGTTCTTATGTATATCTGTGGAAAGCTATAATTTCCTTTCTTAGACTTATAAAGAATTTTAGGAATCCCTAAAAGTGCATTAGCTATTACCATACTAACTATGGTTTCCTCTGATTGTTGGCATTTTTTGGCATACTTGAGAAGATAGTAATGTAACAAAATCTCAAAATTACCACCCACTGGCAAAACACAACCTGCTGGTATAGATGAAGAACAGTAACTCTCCAGTGACTTACAGCTTACTGGTAATGTGTTCCCTTTGCCAACACTTTTTGTGACCTGTACATTTTCGTAAGACATTTCTATTTTAGTGTTTTCTGTTGTTGAATTAGCAGTGAACTTACTCTCAATTAATGGTTCATGGTCATCAATTATGCTGGTTTTGTTCTGAGATAAACATTTCAGTGTGTCATCTGTTTGGTGTGTATCTGCTGGTGTCAGTTTTGATGCTGAACATGGAACATATGTTTCTAATTCTACACCTGGAATCTCCAAATTTGAATATACTATTAAATGTGTTCGAACAGTTACCAGTTTGTCTTTGTTCTTTACAACTGTGCCCTGATATGACCTTTGTATTGAGTCATTACCAATTTCTTGTAACAGCTCACTTTCTCTACTATTCTTGTAAATAAGAGGACTTGATGTATAACTTTGGTCATCGGCTCCTGTCATGTAACTTAGATCAAGGTCTTTAAGTAACTGCCAGAGCATTTTAAAAGCTCCATGTAAAGCATCCTCATGTTGTTCAACAAGACCCTGCACGGGTCCACAAAGAACTATACAGTGTGGTATAAACAAACATGTGCTAATCAAGCCAAGATGAACATACCTTTTGGATTTAAGGATAAGGGGCTTACAAAATTTCAACAAGGCAGTGTTAGAGACTTCATGCTGTGAACAGGTCTGTGGTAGTACAAAAGGAGAAAGACCAGTGATTCTCTGAATGAGAGACACTTCTGCTGATGACAAACACTCCACCACTGATATGCCATTCAGTTCTGCATAGTAAATAACTAAATCTGGTTGCTTCACACGAGACAGGAGCAACTTTACATTCTGACCTTGTAAATATTTCATTATGGTTTTTGTCCTTTCCATAATCCAAAATTGAGATGCCTGAAACTGTGCTTCTGAATTTAGAACAAACTCTGTTCCAGAAGACGAAAAAAGAGGCTGAATGGTTTCTGTTACTATCACTACTCTTATGTCACCATCTGCTGGGCAGTACACAGAAAAATCTCTGTGAAGCACAAGTCCGGCTACAATCCTGGAATCTGAAACAGGAAGGCCAATGACACCAACATTCAACTCTGCAAAATAGTCATCCACTAATTCAAATACTTCTTCAATCCTACTGTTATAAGCCACACACTTGAAAAGGTAGTCACACATCAACAGTGAAATAAATTTGTGATTATTTCTTCCCACTCTTCCACAAAAGTATGCTTCTAAGAGCAACTCTGTAGAGCTCCTACACAATGTTTTCTCTTGAGTGGATGAAGAAAAGACGGACAAAAAGTGTCTACTCAAGCACTGGTCCATAAAGTAGTCTAATACTTGTTCCTGAAACGTTAGAAGAGCTTGAGAAATAAATTTCCACTGACAACAATTTTTCCAATGCCTTCCATGGGTTTGAATATTTTCAGAAACCAAAGAATCCTTTTCTTTGTCTGTGGCTGCGTCAAGTCCTCTGAGCAAATGGGAAAGAAGGATAATAAATGTTTTAGCACCATCTCCTGAATTTTTGAGATGACTGGAAACACATGCCACCACCATCCTGCACAAAAAGAAATTAAACAATTCAGATTTTCCAAAGGCTGGCTTCTCCCATCTGAACCAAGTTGAAACCATGTTTTCACAGGATATACGTCCTTGGTTTTTCGTTTCTCAAGTTACACCTTGTTCTACTCCATAATTCTAGGGTGGGGTCACGCGGAAAGTATAGGAATGAGAAGTGTTCTTGGGAGTTGGTAAGATTTGGGGCCAGGGAGTGTTTCCCTGGGCAGCGGTCTAACCCCAAGCGTGTACTGGTCTGAACCAGAATCAGTTTTTCCAGAAGCATGGCTTCCAGATGGGACAAAATGTTCCGGGTGCTGGCCTGGGGAGCCCGGCTACGGGTTGTATAGCATGGGGGGCGTGTACCTGGCTATGGGATGCTCTAAGTGTAGCGCCTCCAAAAGGCGGCCTCCGTCCCTGCTGAGCAGCACCTCGCCGGTGGGCTTCGTACACAGAACTTGCCGCCCTTCGGGCCCCACGCAGTTGCTTACGATGGTTTCCAGCACCTCTGCAACCTGCAACGCAGCCTTCAAACACCCCACGGCAGCCATAGCCCTTTGGGTCTCTGTCACTTAAAGCCGCTAACCCGCCCAACGCAACGCCAACACTGGGGGCGGGGGGAGAGGCCGGAAGCGGAAAGGGCGGGAACGACGCCGGAGGCTGGGGCAGCAACGCTTTTTGGTTGGGTGAGCGGGCTGTCCCTCCTCTCCTTCCGCTCTGCAGAAAAGCTCCAGTGGCTCTGCCAGTCGGGGCTATCAGCCCAGTAGCCCTCGAAGGTAGAAGAAGGCGGGGACTTCCTAGCAGCAGACCTTAGAGCGAAAACGGTAAACCCTCCCCGGGCTCTCTAGGTGGACTAGTTCCCTCCCTTGGCTTCAGCTTCCCCCGAATCCCTGCCATCTTGCGAGAAACTTCCTTCCAAAGTCAGCATAATAGCCTATGTGAGAGAAGGAACGGACACCACGGGTGGAATCGGTCCGCTCCCTCGTCTCCAACAAAGTTGCTCCTTGTTTTGTAGCAAAACCTGTGCCTTGGGTTCACGCAGACTCTGTCCACACCTCATCAGTCGCTTTCACGCCTAATAAAAAAGCAGGATGCAGGATGGAGAACGGTTATGAGCTTCAGGCTTTGTGCCTTCCGCAGTGGTCTTTGTCACATTTCCTAGGCTCAGGTATTACTATGAAACCCCAGCTATCACCATTTACTTTTTCTTTAGTAGTGGTGATAGATGTGAAGACTTAAGTCATTTAGCTACATTGGTGATCAGTGGTAAGCTGTAATAAGATAGCGTCCTAAGATTATTGGGTACATTTCAAAGGCAGAAAGAATATACTGTTTCATATATTAAAGTGTAGACACACCCTTAAGGATGAAGTGGTTAAAGAACATGGGCTTTGGCTTTTCTCTGCCATTTATTTATCTGTGACATTCAGGAAGTAATCTCCTTGGTTCCCACTTTTCTCCACGAGAAAACAGACATATAAAAGAAAAATCTCATAGGGTTTTGAGAAGGATGAGAATGTTTATAAAGCACTTGACATAGTGCTTAGCATATAGTAAGCACTCAAATACTTCCAGCATTCCCACCAAATTTTTCTGGCAAGTCTACTCTCCTGGTTTACCATCCCAAGAAAAGGGGACATTTTGTAAGGTGAAGATTAGATTAGCGTAACAGCAGAACACCTATTCGAGATACAGCACGTGATCAATATTAGCAAGAAAATGATTTATCTTGTACATATTGCATTGAGGTTGAACAACCTGTTTTCCTTTTCCCTTAATCCTATGCACAAAAACTTAGGCCCTTCCTTTGTCTTCCCTGAATCAACTATGAGCCAGAAGCAATGGGACTGCAAGGGGAGAGCAAGAATGGAGTGGGGAGGGAGGCAGTGGAAAAGGGAGGGAAACCAGAGAGGAATGACTTCTTGGGACTCATCTGAGTGGACTCAGAATGGTTTGGTTTTGGATAGAACAAATGGTTAACACGCTTAGCCACTAACCAAAGGGTTGGAAGTTCAAGTCCACCCAGAGGTGCCTCAGAAGAAAGGTCTGGTGGTCTACTTTGAAAAATCAGCCATTGAAAATCCTATGGAACAGAGTTCTATTCTGACACACAGGGTAGCCATGAGTAGGAGTCGACTCAATGGCGAATGGTTTACTGGTATCCATCGCAAAAAGGTAACATTACTTTGAGCAGTAGAGTATTAATAACATTTGAAAGTAAAGTGCCAAGATCAGAGTTCTTTAAGAATACAGCGGAAAGAGCATGGACACTGGTGTCAGACATAGACTGACAAGTTCAAATTTTCACTTTCAAATTCACAAGAACAATATCACTTTTACTGTGTGGCTTTTAGAGTCATTTATCTTAGCCTGGCGATTTGCTTCCCTGAAATAAAGATTACATCCAAGAAAATCTATCGAGCTCTACTCTGTCACATGGGGTTGTTATGAGTCAAAATCGACTTTACAGCACCCAACAAGCCTATAAAAATCCAGCTATCTTCCACTTATCTTAAAATCTAACTTCCATTTAAGGTTGTTAGAAGAATTCATATATAGCACCAAGTAAAGCATATAGCAGGGATTCTGTTAAATCCATTCCAAGCCCCTCACCATTCTTCGCAACTATTCCAAAGTGAATACTAAAATTAGCACTACATAATTTAGTTACCATATTTATATTCAACCGTCTTTTTGATCACAGTTTGCTGTTTTTTAAAATTTTATTTAGAATGCCTACTTGTAGAAGTCAGCATAATTATACAGATCATTAAAAAAATTCTTTTGTCTCTGCAAACATAATAGGTTAGGAATAATAGATTAGAAATGTAATACATTACAAAACAGTAACCTATGACTACTGTATATTTACTATGCACCTTATGGAAAAGAATGACAGTGTGCTATACTTACACTGTAGATAACATACTTTTATTCTATTATCATACAAAACTGACCAGTGGTAGTGCTTAGATTTATAAATAGCCACTAAGCAGGAGGTTTAATTTAGATATAGTTAGCATGCTAAAAAAATGAAAAAAAAAAAAAAATTTCAATTTAACTTCTGTGGCTCATCAGTTCAAACGTTCCATGGCATTTTTCTTTAAATGAAAAAGTTTAATGTTGTAAAACTAAAATAATTTTACATGATACATGCAGAAGGATAAAATTTTCTAAATATTTTAGAAAGTAAATTCACATTCATTTTGTCATGGGTTTCTTGTGGCTCTTCTAAATATGTTAATCACATTAACAAGACACTGGTCCTATACAATTTTAACAATCCATCTTCAATTAAAAACTAACAAAAACAGTATGTTAAGACTAACAAAAAGTAACTTAAATATGTTAAATTCACACTGTAAGTAGAACAGAATGAAACCAAATTACATAATAGTGGCAGGTCATACATTTTAAAGAATCTCTTTTCCACTTAGTCAAATAAGATAGAAATTGAAATGAAAACTTCATGATTTCGGTAGGATTTTCCCCCACTGGTTCAAAATGAAAATTTGGTATAATTTAGTATTTTATTTCTGTACATTTAACATAATTCAAATAATCTGCAGTGTCATGTGGCTTATCAATAATGCCATCATCACTATATGCCAAACAAAAAAATATATTCCTTGCTCACTCACTAGGAATGCTAAACACTGGAAAAATGGAATTTTAAACATTTGTTTTCTTAAATACTTAAGATATTCTTCAAAAAGTTAAAAATGACTCCCACAAAATTTTGTGTATATGGCACAAGATGACACCCAAAACAGTGTGAATTCCATAAAAAAGGCACTGTTTACAATACTCAGATAATCTGACAAGTCTATTTCAATGATGTCTGAGAGTAGAGAATATATTTGAAATAGGTAAACAGACAAACCCTTGTAAAAGTACAGCATTATTATTTGCTTTATAAAAGGAAATAAAATGACACAAATAAATGACCTTTTAATGACAATTAAGCCTATCAACACTTTGAATCATGTTGAAGTACTGTAACACAAAGATGACAAAAAAGATTTTCTTAAAGGCACAAAAGTATGAACACTACATGAAGGTTGTATTTCACAAGGCCAACTTTTCAATGGAATGAAGTTGCCAATATTGAGTTGTGACCAAGATTACACTGTACCTTTATAAGTGATACAAAAAATAGTGACATGAAATATAAGAAAAATATCTATTGCTGAAACTTACTTAACATTTCCCATGCCCTAAATATTTACTTTCCCTACATGTAGAGTTACATCTTACTAAATGGTGGATAACTGAAGGCATAGTACACTTAACAGCTAGAAAAGAAATGCGCACATCAATAATTTTCATGTGAGAAAATAAAATTTCTTGATCAAATGAAAAAAACTGGTTATAAGGTCTTAAATCCTAGAAACCATCATGAGGCTGTCAGACAACTGGGAACTAAATCACAATTTTTATGAATCCATGTGTAAAAGATTAAACTCAGGTAAAAAAACATTCAAAATTAACTACATATTATGGCTAAATAAAAAGTTATGTGTTTTAAAGGATTCATACCCTAAGCCTAGTGTAAGTATTGATCTACAACTAAGCCACCAATTCCTGAGTTTTGTGTTCAGTACACAGAAAGGAACTCATACAGCTAAAAGCGTAAGAGGACTATCAGATTAGGTATGTGCTTTTAGTGTATAAGAAACAGTCATGAATAACTGTCTTAGTTATCTAGTGCTGCTATGACAGAAATACCACAAGTGGATGGCTTTAACAAACAGAAATTTATTTTCTCACAGTTTAGGAGGCTAGAATTCAGGGTGCCAGCTTGAGGGGAAGGTTTTCTTTCTGTCGGCTCTGGAGGAAGGTCCTTGTCTCTTCTGAGCTTCTGCTCCTGGGCAATCTTTATGTGGTTTGGCGTTATCTCTTCCTCCATCTCTCCTCTGCTGGCTTGTTTAATCTCTTTTATATTTTACAAAAGAGATAGACTCAAGGTATACCCTACACTAATCCTACTTCATTAACAAAACAAATAACAAAACAAATCCCCAAATGGGATTATAACCACAGGCATAGAGGTTAGGACTTACAACACATATGTTTTGGGGACACAATTCGTAACAGTAACCTTGCTCTTTCTCATGAAATAGTTTTTGACTCCTTGGGTAAGAACCATAACATCTGCCCTAAAAAAAAAAATTTAAAGAAAAGAACTACTTTTCCAGTCTTAGAAGATACCTATACAAAATAAAATACTATGTGGACCAAATGAAAATAACACACACATGGATAAGACCAAAATCCCAAGGTGGATCACCAACAAAATCTTTTTTTCAGGATTTAATGATGATTTTTGTGATCAGCCAATCTAGTTATATATAATATAGACACATTAATACTAATTTAAACCATAAAAAAGATGTAATTGTTCAATATTTACAAAATACCATATATCAACAAATATGCAGTTGAGCATTAATTACACTGGTAACAGAATGTGAGTACAAAAATTTTATTGACAAAAATATGAAATGCAACCAAAAAAACCACCTGTTTTAGTGTAGTCATGAAAATACTGGATATAGGTACATCTTATTTATGCTTCACTCAACTTAAAAAATACTTTTACATATACACCTGGAATATGTATTGTTCTGCCAACAATACACAGGAAATGGCTCTTCATAGAAACATAAGGGTCACATAAATTACTTAAGATTGCTATAGTGGTTAGAGGAAAAAAAAAGGCTCTATCATTTTCAATTTTCATAATTTAGCAATTATCCCCTGGTTTTATATTTATCATGGTATAACCAATTGACTATAATTTTTCCTAGTTTCTCACAGTCTCTTCTTTGTCAAAGGCAAAAGTGGCCAGAGCAATTATTCTCTATCTGACCTTCATTTTCATTAATAACCAATTCAAAATGTGTACTTTCAGGATTATAAGATATAGCTTACATTCCTAAACCTAACTACACTTGCAAAAATTGCTTTTGAGGATTATAAAAACTTATGGAAAAAACACAAACTCAAAATAGTCAACTGAAATTAAAAAAAAAAAATGTCTGCCTGAGCCTGAACAAAAGAAATCAGGAAAAATTGACTGCAGTTTTGCCACAGAATAAAGTTACTAAGAACAGAGGCGGATAATAAAGAATTAAACTTCATTACCTGATGTTCTTACATGCTCAACTTACTGCACATTTTAAAGAAAACCAATTATAATGTACACATACATTATACCACAATGAGTAACTATCTTTTCTTGTTGCCTTTCTCTTTTTGGCTTTTGAAGTAAAATATTGGTTATAATTTTTCTACTCTATTTACTGACACACTAAGATCTAAATGAAAGCAAAAATAAGCTGCTCATAATGAGAAAGCATGAATTATCAGCATTTCATATGCCCTACTCTAGAATTTGGCTTATGTTATGGACTAGATGACTTAAGAAAACAAAAATAAGAAAAAAGAACAGCAATTTACTTTGACCATTTACACTTTTTTTTAGCAAGTGCTTAAGGTGGTATCATATAAGTATGATAAAGATATAATCAATCAATCCAAGTAGCTGCATATCAGTTTTTATATTGATATACACATATGAACATATATATCTATAAATATTAAATTAAATTCTAGGGATTCAAAAAAATCTTACGTAAACTTTTTCAAAAACATTTTGCCATCTGTCTTTCTCAATATATCAATTTCAGCCATTCACACTTTTTTTCACTGCTTCTAGACCATTTAGCTAGGTGCTTTGAAAATGATTTTTTTTTTTAACAGTACAGTGTACTGAATTATTTTTCTATTAATCCATCATTTCCTATTCTGCAATTCTTTATTGATAAAAGGTTTTATGCCTGTTTTATGAAGAAAACAGATTACATATATTTATGAGAAGATTGATAGTATCTTTCTTATGAACAATGTTAATGATATATCTCAGAACATAACTACAGAATGCAAAGACTACTGCCAGATAAGAGTACATAAGAGACACTGTATATACGTGTGGATTTATTATATTCACATGTAGACACACAAAAGCTAGGAATGTTCTGGCATTTAACACATAGCTCACTTTAATAACCAAATAGGATAGCTTTTGTTTCAGGTTAAGGATAAAGGTATGAAAGGTTAACACCTCTACATTTATCTCTAAGGTTTTTTGTTTTAGAAATAGTGTGTTGTTTTAATAAAGACCAAACCAACTTGAACATTGGTCCCAGGCCAAATCTGATCATTTCAGTTCATTGATTCAATTGTAAAGAACTTCTACTTAAACATGAAGTTTATTATGACTTGAAGCAAAATCAGGAGGAAAATGATGAAGTAGTCTTTTTGCTGCAGAAAATAATCCGTGGCAGGTGTGCTTGAAGCTAAATGATTTCGAAGAGCCATAACATTTCTACAAAAATAAGCAATAAATGTTATAATGATTTGTCAAAAATGTTACCACAGAATTCACAATTTGCTATTATATGGTCAGAGAGCATTTAATTACATTAATTAGTCCAATCTTTTACTACAACCTGAACAGAGAGCTGATTATGCTGTGGGAAGCCATTATTAGGTCTTGTCTAAATCTATAGTCCATCCTGCATCAAACATATTACTGAATGATATGCATCAAACACAGTTATTAAAGGATGATGATGAAGAAACATATCCCCTTTTCTATTATAACGGTGGTCTTAAAACAACAAAGATTTTGCTTCTTAGTTGGTCCACTAAAATTTTATATGTTTATTTTAGAGATATAGGGGTGGAGGTGGAGAAAAATCCTAACTTCCTCAGGAAGAATTAACACCACAGATTTTATAACATCCCTAACTTGAAGAAGGCGCGACAGGTAATATCACATGCTAACAAGAAGTAAAATGTTACTTTAGTCGTAAAGTGAGCTTAGATTACCTTGTGCCATCCTAAATGCTTTTGGCTAAAAGGTATATACAATTGTTCCTCGTTATTTGCAGATTTTGTGTTTGCAAATTCACCTACGCTAAAATTTATTTGTAACTCCAAAATTAATACTTGTAGCGCTCCTTGGTTATTCACGAACATGCTGTAGGGGCAAATACAAATTAGAAATAAAGGAGAAAAAAAGAGAGAGAGGCTTAATTCCTCCCTCCTTCTCTTTTTTAGAGCCTTTACTTTAGAAAACTGGTAATTGTAAACCCTTTCTCTGATCTTTGGAATGTATGACAATCTTTACAGGCTAAATAAGCCTCCTGCCAATTTTATAACCCAGGAATGTTTCTTCAAGGACCTGGATGCCGTCTCTTTGAAATTTAATCAATCAAGGAAGATTCCTCTCTCTCACTTCCTGAGAGGACAGGAGTCTAACTTCAGCTGGCACTTGGCTCCAAGTTGCAAACCTACCTCCACTCATAAAGATATGAGAAATTAGTAAACACAAGTGGCTATCCCAATTAGCAGGTGAATTTAGGATGAACAAATGGTGCTGTCAAGTTCTCTTCCTTGAGGACTAGTTATGCTTTATCTTGAGAACATGTGTGAAATGGATTGCATCTGCTTGGCTATATAAAAGGATAAAACCCCTTTATGTCTTTGCAATCTCTCTTTAGCAGATTGCCTGTGATGCAAATCACATTCTGGCTTAATGTTTATTCAACAGTAAAACTGTTTTTTCTTCTACATTTGTGGAGAGTTTGTCTCAGTTGGCAGATTTTGTTGTTAATTATGCTTCCCCAACAATGCACAGAGCAGTGAAAAGTTTGATTTGCCTGACCTTCCCAGCTGAGGCTGAACAAGGCAACCTCTGCTTCTTGTTTCAGCTCTCAGTTTTCACAGTCTATTTAGTGTCATGTCTTTTGCATTTTCTGTTGGTGATTTTGTTGTTTAAAATGGCCCTCAAGCACAGTGTTGAAGTGCTTTCTAGTGTTCCTAAGTGCGAGAAAGCTGTGATGTGCCTTATGGGGAAAATATGTGTGCTAGATAAGTTTTGCTCAGGCATGTGCTATGGTGCTATCAGCCATGAGTTCAATGTTAATGAATTAATAATATATATATTAAATACGGTGTCTTTAAACAGAAACAAACATACAACAAAGTTATGTACTGATCAGCTGATGAAAATATTGTGACCAGAGGACTGCAGGAACCTAACCCTGTATTTCTCCTAGGAGCAATGGTTCACTTTCACTAACTCAGTGTTTGTTGTGACTTTACAGAACTACCACAAATAATGAAAATCAATTATAATTAAATTAGAAAACATTTCTTGAGCACTTACTATATATAAGGACTGAGGATACCAAGATGCACAAAAGACGTGATTTCTGCTGTAAAGGAGCACATAGTCCAATAGGGTGGAGAGACACATACAATAACAACTCTAACAGTATAGTCAGTTCTCAAAAGGAGTATTTACAGGGAGCTATGCAAATCAAGTTGAGGAATTAGCTAACTCTACAGGGCATGGGTGAGTGATTGGATATGTTACAAAAAGGGCCACATTTTCTGTTAAATTCTGAAGGATAAGCAGGGATTTTCTTGATGGGCAAGGTAGGAGGAAGGGCATTCTAGGATGCGGATTCAATGTGGGCAAAGGTCCAGAGATGAGAGACAGTACAGTACATTCTGGGAGAAATAAAGAGTTTCATAGGACTAGGGGCATGGAGTAGGTGCAGGGGATTGGCAGAAGATGAGAAAATAACAGCTAAATGTAAGCCATAAGGTCTCCAGGGGCAGAGGAAAAAAAAAATCTCCCTGAACATCTAGCAGTGAATACTGAATATAAAAAAGCAAGTGGGCTAATATCAAAAGAAAAATTAACAACTGATACAGCAATGGGAGGCAGGGAATCTGAACTCAACTAACATTAGCAAGGCAGCAGGATTAGGACCCCTTCTCCCCTAAGGAACCTCCCCAAGTGTGAAGAGTTGCTTGATCATGGGGAGGTGTGTGTAAGGAGTGGTCTGGGACTGCAAGGGGAGCACTCCGCAGTCTCAAGAAGTAGCTATTTACCCATTGTTATAGAAATACTGCAATATTTCAACAACTGGAGCATTTCAGTTAAATATTAGTCACACATAAAGGGGTCCTTGTTAACTAATTTTCTCAGAAACAACCCCACACCCACATCCAGTTCAGCTACATTCTTAAAATTATTGTTGTTGCTGTCAAGTCAGTTCCGACTCATAGCGACCCTATGTACAACAGAACAAAAATAAAGCAATAAGACAGACAATCCAATTCTACCTTCACATATGCCACTGCCCAATAAATCAGGGTTAAAAAAAAATAAAGCTCTTCCAATATGCTAGTGTTAGAGGAATTTTATGATTCAGTCATCAAGTGATAGAGGCTAAGGTTCTATTTTAGCTTAGCAATGTTATAAAAATATCAAGTTTGCATATGATTTCCTATGTAACAGGATTCTTAACTACTATACTACCACTGTCAGTATATATTACCTTTTAATTTCTTCCTGTGTTTGTTTTATGGATTCGATGGAACTTTGAATGTCTCCCAGTTCTATCCCTTTCTTTCTTCTTGTACTTTGTTTCAGTGATTGAGCTAAGGAGACATTTAGAATGAAAATAGTGAAAATAATTAATCATAAACACAATTTACATAACAATCTGATTCCTGTGTTATTAAATAGATAAAAATAATTCACTTAAAAATATGTATTAGCTTAGGGAAGGTGTTGCTCTTTCTTTTCCCTTGCCCACTTGCCTACACCTGAAGAAGTTAGCTTTTTGAAACTTCTCTTCAGTTTTTTATTGTTAATGTTATGTCTATTCCCCTAGTCATTTAATTTTTAAGACTTATAGTCGATTTTGATACTTTCTGTAATAATTTTTATTGCCAACCAGCAAGAGGTACTGATTTTTTCAAATCCCTTCTCACATTCACTCCTTCCTTCTATTTCTGTTCAGATTTTACTTAACCTATGTCTCAGCTTTCTAGTTTATAAAATAGGGATAATAATACCCAAATTTCACAAGGTTCTTGTAAAATGTGTTTAACACATAATCTGGCATAATAAATGTCAGCTGATACATTATATGTAATATAGTGAAGTAGATAAGAGTGTGGATTTAGGAGACCACTCCCAACCCAAGCCTAGCATGCTGTAATCCACTGTTGTTAGGGGCCGATGAGGAGGTTCTGACTCACAGCTACTCTACTCTATGTGCAAAAGAACAAAACACTGCCCGGTCCCGCATCATCCTAACAATCGTTGCTATGTTTGAGCCCATCATTGCAGCCACTGTATCAATCCATCTCATTGCAGGTCTTCCTCTTTTTCGCTGACCCTCTATGTTACCAAGCATGGTGTCCTTCTCCAAGGACTGGTCCCTCCAGATAGCATGTCCAAAGTACGTGAGACAAAGTCTCACCATCCTCCCTTCTCAGGAGCATTCGGGATTCTGGCTATATTTCTTCCAAGAAAGATTTGTTTGTTCTTCTGGAAGTCCATGCTATATTTAATATTCTTTGCCAATACCATAATTCAAATTCATCAACTCTTCTTCAGTCTTCCTTATTCACTGTCCAGGTTTCACATGCTATGAGGCAACTGAAAACACCACGGCTTGGCTCAGGTACACCTTAGTCCTCAAAGTGACATCTTTGCTTTTTTTTTTTTAACAGTTTAAATGAGTCTTTTGCAGCAGAAATGTCCAATGCAATATGCTGTTTGATTTCTTAACTGCTGCTTCCATGGGCATTGATTGTGAATCCAAGTAAAATGAAATCCTTGACAACTTCAGTATTTTCTCTGTTTATTGTGATGCTGCTTATTAGTCCAGCTATGAGGATTTTTCTTTTCTTTATGTTGAGGTGTAATCCATACAGAAGGCTGTAGACTTTGATCTTCATCAGTAAGTGCTTCGAGTCCTCTTCAATTTCAGCAAGCGAGGTTGTGTCATCTGCGTATCTCAAGTTGTTAGCCTTCCTCCAAACCTGATGCCACATTCTTCTTTATACAGGCCAGCTTCTAAGACTATTTGCTTAGCATACAGATTGAATAAGTATGGTGAAAGGTTACAACCCTGATGCACACCTTCCCTGATTTTAAACCACACAGTAGTTCTTTGTTCTGTTCAAACAACTGCCTCTTGGTCTATGTATAGGTTCCTCATGAGCATGATTAAATGTTCTGGAATTCCCATTCTTTGCAATGTACCCCTAATTTTTATGATCCACACAGTCAAATGCCTTTGCATAGTCAATAAAACACAGGTAAACATCTTTCTGGTATTCTCTGCTTTCAGCCAAGATCCATCTGACATCAGTAATGGTATCTCTCATTCCATGTTCTCTTCTGAATCTGGCTTGAATTTCTGGCAGTTCCCTATCAATGTACTGCTGCAATTGTTTTTTAATGATCTTCAGCAAAATTTTACTTACGTGTGATATTGATGATATTGTTCAATACTTCCTGTATTTGGATGGATCACCTTTCTTTGAGATGGGCACAAATAGGGATCTTTTCCAGTTGGTTTGCCAGGTAGCTGTTTTCCAAGTTTCTTGGCATAGATGAGTGAGCACTTCCAGCATTGCCATCTGATTGTTGAAACATCTCAATTGGTATTCTATAAATTCCTGGAGCCTTGTTTTTTGCCAATGCCTTCAGTGCAGCTTAGACTTCTTCCTTCAGTATCATTGGTTCTTGATCATATGCTGTCTCCTGAAATGCTGAATGTCGACCAATTCTTTTTGGTATAGTGACTCTGTGTATTCCTTCCATCTTCTTTTGATGCCTCCTGCATCATTTAATATTTTGCCCATAGAATCCTTCAATATTGTAACTTGAGGCTTGAATTTTTTCTTCAGTTCTTTCAGCTTGAGAAATGTCTAGTGTTCTTCCCCTTTGATTTTCTAACTCCAGGTCTTTGCACATGTCATTATAATACTTTACTTTTCCTTCTGAAGCCGCCCTCTAAAATCCTCTGCTCAGCTCTTTTACTTCATTATTTCTTCCATTCGCTTTAGCTACTCTATGTTCAAAAGCAAGTTTCAGAGTCTCTTCTGACATCCATTTTGGTCTTTTCTTTCTTTCTTGTCTCTTTAATGACATTTTGCTTTCTTCATGTATAATGTCCTTGGTGTCATTCCACAACTCGTCTGGTCTTCAGTCATTAAGTGTTCAATGCATCAAGTCTACTCTTGAGATGGTCTCCAAATTCAGGTGGGATATACTCAAGGTCATACTTTGGCTCTTGTGGACTTGTTTTAATTTTCTTCAGCTTCAACTTGAACTTGCATATAAGCAATTCATGGTCTGTTCTGCAGGTGGCCGCTGGTCCCTGACCACCACTCGTCTGACAGTTTGTTGTACTGTAATCCATGAGAAATCCTAATAATTTATCAAGGTTCCTCCAAGAACCTTCTCTGACCACCTCAAACTAAATTAAGCTCTCTCTCCTTTACCATTTATCATCTGTAAATTAGCTGGCATTTATCATTTATTCACCTCTAGTGTTACCTGTGTACATAAAAATGGAGCTCCTCAGCTTAGTGTAAGCTTAGTAGGGACTATGGTTTAAAGTTCTTTTATATTCTCATAATGTTGAAGACATTACCTTAATCTTTTCTTGATTATCAATGTGGTTCAAGACAGTTTACACAGTATCTGACTTGAACAAGAATGGCACATTAATTAATCTAGTAGTCCATAATGTTGATACAGTTATATTTTTACTTGTCTGTGACTTCTGAACACTACAGTATTTCACTCTGGGAATCAATAACTTTTCTGAACTGAGCTTAAAGCTCAAAAACGCTTTCTGAATTAATCTAGGGAACCATCAACAATTTTTCAGAAGCTAACGAGGTGTAAAGACTAGTACTACAGTGTGGTTCTTGATTTGCATGTCTCCCCTTTTTTCATTTCCCACGTCTTTACCTTGTGGCTTGGTCTCAAAACTTATCTATAATCTAAAATAGCTTTTGCATCTACCTTTTCCCCCACCAAAACTCTTAAATATCTTCTTGAGTTATATTTCATATATTAAACATAGTGTAGTAATATCTTTTTAAAAAATTAGACTTTTATAATGAACAGTGTACAATAAATATTTTTACTTTCGCTTCCAGATGAGTCCTGGATATCAGGTTCTGGGGAGGAATAGCCTTTCACCACTTTCTTCTGTTGCCTGGTTGGCTTATGTTTCATTTTTGGGACACTAACCTGAAAAAAACATTTCCACATTATGTGAGTTTGCACTATATTTTATAAAGACAACTGTCAAAACTGTTCATGGGCAATATATTCAGAAATAAAAACAAAAATGAAACAGCCTAGTTAAAACTTAACATATATGACGTGATACACATATGCAATCAAATTATTTTATTTAATTTTATTAGGAAACATTAATTTGGCACAAACAGCAAAAATATAAAAAAGGTACACACTCCTGACTCCAGTCTTTCTCCACTAAATTGGTAACCACTGCTATTATTCTGTATGTCTTGTTCAGCAATATTTTTTACGCATACCCGAGCAAGTATGAACATATATCCCCCCTCACTTTTCTAACTGCAGTAGGTAGTACCTCCTGTCAAATGTTAAATAATAATGTTTTCTGATCATCCTTTTCTTGTTCCCAACTTTAGGGTTTCCAATCAAATTATTTACTTACTTTTAATAATATCTGGATAAAGCAGAAAACATCTTATATGGAAGTGATACTATTATTTTTAAGAGTATTATATAAACTTATTGAAAGCTTTGAAATACATGCACAAGATTCAAAAGTATATCAAACCATGAACTCCATATTTTGCTTAGAATAAGAGACTTTAGACTCTATCCATATAGCTTTGCAGTTCTGGTAATCAGTCCTAAATTTAAAAACCTAAACGCAAAAGAAGAGACTAGAATAAGAATAGGAAGACGTGTATGCTTCGAAAACTGGGAACTGGTGGTCATTTAAGTCTTTAACGCTATTCTTTCTTACCTGTTTACTGTTATAAACAGGAATTATTCCCCAATTACTTACTCCTTGAAATTATTTTGAAAAATCTCATTCATGTGCTTGAAAATAAAATAAAATTTCTACAATATACAACAAGCAGGGAGGATCTGGATTTAGCCTACATTGTGCCCTTCCACTTGTTAAATGACACATAGGGAGAATCAGATACAAGATCAATTCCCTGAGTAGGCTACACCAGGCATGAAGCTATGCCTTCCCAATATTTTTTGGAAACTTTTTGAGGTGGGAACGTCTTACATCCCAAAATAATTAAGAAAAGAAAATGAAACTATCTCATAATCAGGTTTCAAACTACTGAGTATACTTGTGACTCAGAATCAGCTATAATAAATTAGAATTATTGCAATGATAGTACAGTATGGTACAGTGGTTAAGACTGCAGCTCTGCAGCCAGAATACCTGGGTTTGAATCCTTCTCTACCACTTACTAATCTTGGGCAAGTTACTTAACAAGTCTAGCCTTTGGTTCCTAGATTTGCAAAAGGTACATAATAATAACTGATCCTCATAGGGCTAGTGAGAAGATTAAAAGAATTAATAGATTTAAAGCATTCAGAATGGTGCTCTGTATTTGCTATATAACTGTTAACCATTATCATTGCTACTACTACTACATTTCATAGTATAAATAACTAACAGAGCTAAGGAAAATTTCTTACCCATCTGTTTAGCATCTTGGACAGAATCTTAGCTCATAACCTACTACTAAGCAGCCCATGGAACACAGGAGACTCTCAACAGAGTCTCCTGAATAAATGACCAAAATAAGTGAAGGGTATTAATCTAATAAGTAGAATTATTAAGAATTTTCATTTCTAAGTTCAGAAAATGAATTTAAACATTCTGGTTATTTTCCCTTTCCTACAAGCTTCATTCTTGGTAACAAACAAAAACAGAAAACAAATTAGACATCTGAGGACCTAGGAAAATTAGAAAAGAAATAGTACCATAAATATTCAAATCCTAGAGAGATAAAATTTTGTAATATTTAGAATTCAAATATCCATTCTCAGGTAAGCTATATATTACTCTATAGAGAAGGTTCGAATTGGAGATTGATAAAAACTGGCGAGAAGATTATTTAAGATGACAAAGGGAGTCAGCAATACAACTAGGGATATACAAAGATTTATTGTGATCGATAAAGTCTTCCTAAATGCAGATGACTTGTGTGTGTCCATTATGCTATAATTGTTAAAGAAACAAATTTTAAATGTTTGTTGCCAAAGATTCTGAGGATTTAACAAATTTATATGCCTAATGGATGTAATCACTTCTTTTTTTATTACATACCATTGGAGTACGATGTCTCACTTTGGTCTGGATAACACCATCTTTTTCAAACTGTATCATATCATTAAGTGGGTCCCATGGTCGGGTACTACATGAATAAAAAGAATACTATTAGTTTAATGACTAATAAAATAACTCAAAACCTTTCTATTTTATATTAGATTTTCATCAGTAGTTATAAACATAGTTCTAAGATTAAGATTTGCCCATATTTAATCTGCTGATCCTCAGCTTATTTTACAGGCTAGCTAGTATCATGGAGTCAAGTTTATCATGAATGGAACATCAAGGTTAAAATCTCACACTAATATACACAGCTGAATAAAAAAAAAAAATCCTAACAATGATAATTCTTGAAGTGTAAGTAGCAAACTATGCCAATATATTGTAATAAAAATTTTTTAATTACTTACTCTGCAAACTTGTAATGCCATTCTCCTGTGAGTGGATCAAGTTCAAATAATTTGCAGGCCCACTCTTCATTTTTTGTTTTCCGATCTCTGGCTGCTTGTCTTTGAGCTTCTTCTAAAACGTACTTCTCTTGAGTAGCTTCAGTTTGATCTTTGGCATTTATGGCTTTAGTTACCCGCTGCCAGAGTCTAAGACATGTACAAGCATAGTATTAAAAAAAGCATGTGTTTTGTTATACACTTAACATAATCAAAAAAATTTTTAAGGAAAGCAACAGAGAATCAAATCTCTATAGAACAGGCTTGCATCTCTTGGGAGAAAATGATGCTTACATGGGTTTCTGGCTTTAACAAAGGTTACACTCAGGTGCTTAGAATGAGCTAAGAATTTTAAAAAAACCAAAAACCAAAAACCTGGTGCCTTGTATACAGAAGTATCCACTCTTAAGTGGGGACTAATCTTTTTTCTTGGTAAGAAAAATATATTATAGAGGTTCTTTAGCATATGCCAGTGAATGCTGCTAAGCCAAAACGACAGAAATGTAATGGAGGTAGGGCTCAAGAATCTACATTTTTAACAAGCCCCCCCATATGACTCCTATATGTATGTTAAGGTTTAAGACCCAATGACCTTATGAAGATTCATTAGTGTAATGCAGTGCTTCTGAACCCTAGATGCACAAATTAGCAGGGAACTTTTCAAATTAGAATTCATGTATTGGTATTTTTAAAATTTTTTTTAATACTTCCCAGATGATTTTAATGTGCAGCTAGCCCTGAGAACCAATGACTTAACAGAAAAGACGACTGAGGTAAAATGACTTCCCTTACTTTAGTTTTTCCTTCAGTTAAAAAAAAGTTACACACACACACACACACATATATATATATATGTAATACATGACTGGAGCCCTGGTGGCATAGTGGTTAAAAGTTTGGCTACTAACCAAAAGGTTGGCGGTTTGAATCCACCAGCTGCTCCTTGGAAACCCTATGGGGCAGTTCTACCCTGCCATACAGGGTTGCTACAAGTCAGAATCAACTCGATGGCAACGAGGTTTTTTTTTGATATTGTACATACACACACCTATATCCACCCATCTGAAGACAGCATGTTGAGACCAAAGGAACAAAAGCTTTGGAATCAGACAGGCTTAGGTTGAATCCTGAATTTGCCACTTTGCAGCTAGTGAACTCAAAGTAACTTAACCTGTCTGAGTCTTGTTTTCCTCATCTTTAAAATATGCTAAATTGTTTTACATATCTAGGCAAAGCTTAGCTCTGGATGGAAAGCATTATGTGGCTAGGGCTGAAATAGACTTTTTAGAACTGGTGCATACATATTCTTCCACCTTTGACAACCTCAATTTTGAGTGGAGAGGGGACTGAATCCCCGTGAGTGAGAATGGTACTCATGTGGGAGGATGCAGCCAGGACTAACCTGCATAATGTAAAGTACCTAGCATTGTGTCTTTTACACAGACGCATCCTTCTCCTAACACAGAGATACAGTAAGGATAAAACTGGGTAATGTGTATACAATATTTTCAGTTCAAAAGTATAAATGTTTCATCTAGCCAGAATTTCATGACTTTAAGAAGAGAAACTATGCCCTTAATTATTACTCAGCTAATGTTAAGTCCTTTAGAAGCCAGCACATCCAGTGGCATAATTTTTGTGTTTTACAGAATGGAATAAAAATGAGGTTCAGTACCACTCCCTTCACCTAGAATTCTACATGCACAAACCACGTTAGAAAACAGATGCCAGGTAGAAACCAAAAGTCATTAATAAGTCTTATAATTTTGCACAAACAAATAAAAAGTTTATTTATTTGTTTTTTATTTTATAAACAGGTCCTGGAACAGATGAAAAGAGAAACGAAACACAAGGAAGTTTTATTTTGATCTGCAGAAAAGCAGGATGATTTGTATTATATTTGACATTCATGCATACCAAAATTAAATACCATCACACCCTACAAACAGTACAGTATTTTGCTGGATTTAAATGTAACTAACGGAGAAAAGTAACCAATGTATTAAGGAATTAAAAAATACTCTTTGATCTTCACACAGTTACCTGAAAAAAATAGTATACTTACTTCTCTGATTCAAAATCTTCCTGCTCTTCAAATTTTACAGTGTGTCTTATTAATCTCCATTGCTTAATGTCAGGTGTTGGATTCCAGAAAACCTCCGAATTATCAGTCTTTTTGTCATTAATAAAAACTTCACTATCCTATATGTAAAGAAATTGAAAATTAACATAAAGAATTCTCTTTATTTAGAAGGGGATTATATAGTATAGTATAAAAATACTTTCTTACAGCTACTTAATTACTTGGAATTAATCATTTCTTTAAAACAAACATAACTCGTACTTTTCCAAAAGCCCCAAATTTCTTGTCATTTTTATAAAAATATTCAATAAGATTAAACATATAATACAACTCGACTTTAAAAAAAATTTGCCTGAATACACCAAAAGTTCCTAAGATTTCACAAGTTTTACTTAAATTTCAAATAATTATATGCAAAGCCTCAGTAGCCATCCTTTATCAAAGTGGAGCATAGTATTTGCTACAGATAGAATGAGATGCTGTTTACTATCTATGTACTTAATTTATGGATAGAACAACTTTAAAGAGACATTCTTAACATTAAAAATTTGAGCACAATCTTAGAAATTTCATTTAAAAAAAAAGTGGCTTCATCTTCTCCCCAAATGACATTCACATATAAGTCAGTTACCAAAAAATTTTAGAGATCATATCTGGCCTCTTAACTGAGTCCCTAGATCTAGCTTCATTTTCTCATTTCCTCATTATTATTATGTGGTAAATAGCATATACTCAGTGTTCACAATGAGGGTTCATCTAAATAGAACCATAATACTTTTTATTTATTTAAGCTGCTCTTAACAAAATTACATATTAAATTTAGGTCAGCAGAGAAGTCAATCAAAGCCATTGCTCTCATATACCACTATTCCTTTTCCATGTTTCTCAAAAGAAAATACAACTCTACGTGGAACTATGCCTCTTTCTTCTGAATAAGAGGCAGTATAGTGCCTTGGGTTAAGACTTCAGGCCCTGAAGCTAGGGTGCTTGGGCTGGAATTCTGGGTTCACCACTTACTTTGAACAAATTTTTTAAACGTTCTGTGCCTTACTTTCCTCCTCTGTAAAATGGGGATAATAAAAGTATTCACCTCATAGGGTTGTATTAAATGAGTTAATATAAGTAGTTTTTAAACAATACAGTACATATTGAGTGATATGTGTCAGCTGTTTTTAGAGTTTCAAAAAGAAAAAAATATTATATAAAACTAAATATTTTAAAATAACTTCAAGACCAAAATATCTGTTATTAAGCTGAAGCTTATGTGGAATAGTGATGCTTTTAGCAATGGAGTAAGCATGCCTTTAATTTTAAAATGTGATTTTTATTATTTTTTTCACAGAATAAAATTAGTTTTGAAAAGGTAGTATATAAAAATACTTACCCAATGACCTTCCAATGTAGCTAGGACTTCTTTTCCCAATTTAAGTTTCCCTGATATTTGATTAACACAATCACTACTACCTAGAAATGGCTTTCAGAAAAGAAAATGTTGAAGAAATATTTTAATTTTAACTTATATTTACATACAATGTAGACCAAAAAGAAAGTAATTTTACAGTTATACTGCTCTTGCATTACATATAGTGCCCAAATTGTGATATACTGATTCAAATTTTGCCAAAAATGTTAAATAAGAGGAAATTTGAATTTGTTGCTATGGAAAAACAGATAACAACAGACTAAGGTCCAAATAAATAAGCATAGTGAGAAAGATTACAACGATATAACTGGCTCAGGCCCTGTGTCTTCTCAAGTCGTGCGTTCTCTCCTGACTCTCAAGACTGTGCCCTATCAATGTGTCAATATATTAAGCAATAACAGTTTAGTAAACCTAAGGGATTTAACTGATCTGTTGAAAGAGTAACCTTCCTTCAAACCAAAACAAAGTAAAATGATACCCAGTCAAAGGAAAAAAACAGAGAACAAAAAACCTCCAAAATATAAAATTAGAAGGAATATACTTGGAGTTACTATGTTACCTTACTGGTGTCTCTCCTTAGAGACGAAATGTTGATGCTTCAATCTAACCCTTAAAGGTATCCTAAATTGCTTAACACCTCTTTAGTCATGATTCTCAAACATCCTTATCACCATACAAGCTAAGATTAAAAAAATACAAAACAAAGGGTATTGCATCAAATACTTACAAGATTCTTTTTGTTAGAACAAAGCTGCTGATCAGCTGGTATCAACACAGAAGCAATTCAGTAATAAATACTGAACAGTTCATAGACATATTTACCTAAACATAATGTGCTGTTTCACACCAACAATTAACACTCTGAAGAGATCTCAAATTTCCCTTTTTCACTCTGAGACAGACAGTATTTTCCAAAGATAACTTCAAGAATATCCCCGCCTGCAGTCCATGTGCTATTTATTACTCAATGAGACCTTGCCACTCTCCCACTGAGAAGTGAGGTTTATATCCTTTTGCCTTGAATCTGGGTGGGCTATGACTCTTCAACTAACAGAGGATGGTAGAAGTGATATAATGTGACCTCTAAGGACAGGTCATAAAAGATGTTAGATGCTGCTTCCACCTTGCTCACTAGAATACTTGCACTTGGAGTCCTGAGATACCATGTAAAAAATCAGACTATCTTGAGGCTGCTATGCTATGAGGAAGCCAAGCTACATGTAAAGGCCATATATATAGGTGCTCAGATCAACAGTCCTGGTCTTTGAGTAATCCCAGCCCAGGCACCAGACATGTAAGTGATGAGTCTTCAAATGATTGAAAAGAAAAAACCAGACTGATTGCTGACCAGTCGATTCCGACTCATAGCAACCCTACAGAGCAGAGTAGAACTGCACCTTAGGGTTTCCAAGGAGCAGCTAGTGGATTCGAACTGCTGATCTTTTAGTTAGCAGCCGAGTTTTTAATCATTGAGCCACCGGGGCTCTCTTCAAAAGATGCTGTTGTTGTTAAGTGTCCTTGAGAAAGTTCCAACTCATAGTGACCTTATGTACAACAGAAGGAAATACTGCCCGGTCCTGCATCATCCTCATAATCGTTGCTATGCTTGAGCCCATTGTTGCAGCCACTGTGTCAATCCATCTGACTGGGGGTCTTCCTTTTTTGCTGACCCTCCACTCTACCAAGCATGATGTCCTCCAGGGACTGGTCATTCCTGATAACATGTCCAAAGTATGTGAGACAAAGTCTCATCATCCTCGCTTCCAATGAGTACTCTGTCTGTACTTCTAAGACAGATTTGTTTGTTCTTCTTGCATTCCATGGTATATTCAATATTCTTCGCCAACACCATAATTCAAAGGCGTCAATTCTTCTTCGGTCTTCCTTATTCATTATCCAGCTTTCACATGCATATGAGGTAACTGAAAACACCATGGCTTGGGTCAGGCGAACTTAGTCCTCAAAGTGACATCTTTCCTTTTGAACACTTTCAAGGTCTTTTGCAGCAGATTTGCCCAATGCAATGTGTCTTTTGATTTCTTGACTGCTGCTTCCATTGATTGTGGATCCAAGTAAAATGAAATCCTTCAATCTTTTCTCCTTTTATAATGATGATGCTATTGGTCCAGTTGTAAGGATTTTTGTTTTCTTTATGTTGAGGTGTAACCCACACTGAAGGCTGGTCTTTGATCTTCATCAGTAAGTGTTTCAAGTCCTCTACACTTTCAGCAAGGAAGGCATCTGCATAACACAGGCTGTTAACGAGTCTTCCTCCAAACCTGATGCCCCATTCTTCTTCATACAGTCCAGCTTCTTGGATTATTTGCTCAGCATACAGATTGAATAGGTATGGTGAAAGGATAAAACCCTGACACGTACCTTTCCTGACTTTAAACCACGCATTAGCAACCTTGTTCTGTTTGAATGACTGCCTCTTCATCTATATACAGGTTCCTCTTGAGCACAATTAAGTGTTCTGGAATTCCCATTCTTCACAATGTTATACATAATTTGTTATGATCTACACAGTCGAATGCCTTTGCATAGTCAATAAAACACAAGTAAACATCTTTCTAGTATTCTTTGCTTTCAGCCAGGATCCATCTGACATCAGCAATGATATCTTTCATTCCACATCCTCTTCTGAACCCAGCCTGAATTTCTGGCAGTTCCTGTCAATATATTGCTGCAACCGCTTTTGAATGATCTTCAGCAAAATTTTACTTGTGTGTGATATTAATGATACTGTTCGATAATTTCTGCACTCTGTTGGATCACTTTTCTTTGGAATAGGTACAAATATGGATCTCTTCCAGTCAGCTGGCCAGGTAGCTGTCTTCCAAATTTCTTGGCATAGACGAGTGAGTACTTCCAGTGCTGCACCCATTTGTAGAAACAGCTTAATTGGTATTCTGTCAATTCCTGGAGGCTTGTTTTCCACCAATGCTTTCAATGCAGCTTGGACCTCTTCCTTCAGTACCATCAGTACAAGAGATACCAGCCCCCAAATGTGGAGTCTCTCCCAGCCTTAAAGTCTTCCTTACTTAGGCCCCAGGTATTATGCAGCAGAGACATCTTCAAACTTCTGATGCAGAGAACCCGTGAGGATCATAACATGGTGGTTTTTAAGCCTCCAAGTTTTAGAGTAATTTGTTATGCAGAAATAGTAACTAATAAAACTTCAGTGTGCACATCTCAAACTCAGTTGATTCATGATTTTTGGTATTTTGTAACGCAATGCTTTAATTTACCGAGAAATTTCTATCCAAGCACTTCTTAAAACTCATATCCTATATAATTTTAACAACTAAAATTAAAAGCAGAAATAATAACTTTGTGTTGATTTGAATTCTAAGGCTGCTGTCTTATTAGGCTATACCAAGATATTCACCCAACTGTGACTCTATTCTTTATATCCCAGACCTTATATGAGTTCTGTGTTCCTATTTAGTCCTTAATCAGGAACTAAATAGTGCTCTTCGTTCAATATTTATAGTATACCAAACCCACTGCCATCAAGTCTATTCCAACTCATAGTGACCCTACAGGACTGAGTGGAACTGCCCCATATGGTTTCCAAGGCTGTATATCTTTATGGAAGCAGACTGCCACATCTTTCTCCTGCAGAGTGGCTGCTGGTTTGAACCACCGACCTTTCAGTAGTGCTTTAACCACTGCACCACCAGGGTTCCTCATTTATAGCATAGCTCCCCTTTAATCAGGTGACACCCCCTATCAGTCTCTACCAACCTTTAGTTTGAATTCAAGTACTGCACTGTATCCAGTTTTTTGACATGTAATATTGACTGTTCCCCCAAGTTCCAGTGTCATTGTACCATAAAGAATTCCTAAACGAGGGGGGAAAAAAAGACAAAGGCTGAAGAGAGAGGTACACTAGCTAATAAAGCAAACTTTGTAATCTAATCCCCTTCTAGAAGTTTATAACTCAAGGGCATTCTGTCCTACCCAATAAAAATTGATAATATAGACATAAAGTTGGTTCTATAGGATGCAGCGGATAGAAGGCAAACGAACAGCTCCCAAAATAGATTTTGTTGTTAAATGTTGGAGAAATTCTGGTTTTAACAAAGTTAAACAGGTGTTGTACCCTTGCCCATTGTTGGATTAAGGCAACCTTCAATATGCAAATGAACAACATTAATTTCCAAGACAGGAACAAAAGTATGCAATGTTTCCCATACTTATTTGGCTACAGAACTCTCCATTTGTAAAATACTTTGTGGGACTAGTGATTTAGGGAACACACCTTGGAAGAATGCAGATAAAGCCACAAGGGTGGAGAACCTGATAAAAATATTTCCAACTCTCATTCACAAAGGGTCATAATCTCTCCTTTTTTTTTTCATGCAATAAAAATGTTGCTATGAAAACATTTTTCCCTATTGCTAGTTGGATATACCATGGGTGTCTACATTGCAAATCCATTTATTTATTTCAAGATATAAAATTAAAAAACATATATTCTTAACAATTCGATTCACAATTTCAGGTATTTTACTTCATGGCTATTTCAAGAACTACACATGAAGCTCTAAGAATTATGTAGCCTGAAGCTGTAAGTTGGCCACCCTTATAGGATCCAGTAGTATGTACGTAATTGGTACAGTGAATGGGAGTCAGAAAGCCTAGAGTTTAGTCTCAGCCTTCTTACCAACTATCTGAGTTGGTCTTGGGTAAGATTCTTAACACTCCCTGTTTTCTCATCTGTGAAATGTGGCCATACTATATAGTTTCTATGTTTTTATGAATCACATCCTGAAATACATTACAGGATTATAACCCAAAAAGTTATTTTCAAGAAATTAGATAGAAAGAGGGAACTGATAATGACCAAGCTGAGTGTTTAAGTTGATGCAGTACAATATAGCTGTTACAAGTACAGACTGCAAAGGCTGACTTCAGTTCAGATCTTGACTCCACTACATTTTAGCTCCGTGATGTTGGGCAAATTAGTTAACCTCTCTGTGCCTCATTTTCCTCATCTGTAAAATAGGGACAATAATATTGCCTACTTTATAGGGCTGCTGCAACTATTAAATAAGTTTATAGATATGAAGTATATACAATAGTTGGGTACCTGCCCTGTAGTAAATGACAGTATTTAATACTCTTATCTGTATTCCAAATAATGGGGGAAAAAGCATCATTCATTAACTTTTAAGAAACTGTCAACTGATGATAAGAAAGAAAATTTAAAAGGCTTGGAAAACAAAAAGCAGTAAATTAAAATTTAAAAAGGATGGTACCAGAAGATGAAAATCAGTTTTCAGCCAAAACCAAATCTGTTGCTGTCGGGTCGATTCCACCTCATAGCAACCACATAGGACAGAGTAGAATTGCCCCACAGGGTTTCCAAGGAGTGGCTGGTGGATTCAAACTGCCAACCTTTTGGTTAGCAGCCAGCTGAACCTTTAACCACTGTTCCACCAGGGGGACTGTGAAATAATGGGCAGTTTCAGTGAATTTCAAACCCTACACATTAAGCAAATGAAAAGAAATTCTAACACTGTAAATCAGTCTCTTCAGACTAAAATATATATCACAAAAATTCTATTATGGGTGAACTAATTCAACAAAGAAAAATTCAGCAGATGATAGCAATAATCTTCAACTGCTTATAAACTAAGGATACTTTCAAACAAAATATAAGGCTAAATCCATCAATCTCAAAGCATAGCAATATATGACTATATAAAGTATACTTAAAAAGGTTTAAGAAACATCTAACTCAAATATGGAAAATATTTACCTTTACAATGGGCATATGGCATTGTCATTACATAATCTTCACCTCTATTCAAGAAAGTCAACCGTGCTTCTCCCTCTAATATTGCAGATAATGAGTTTCCTGAAATGAGTATTACTTATTAATTTTCACAAAACAAATTCAACCAGTTCAAAACAAAACAAAATATATACACAGGACACCTACCAGACATTTTTGGAAGTCTTGGTGGTGCAGTGGTTAAGAGTTACTGCTGCTAATCAAAAGGTCAGCAGTTCAAATCCACCAGCCGCTTCTTGGAAACCGTATGGGTCAGTTCTACTCAGCTCTACAGGGTCGCTATGAATCGGAATCGACTCAACAGCACACACCACCACCAGACATTTACAGTAGAATGTCTTAAAAATGTCTCAATCTCAATGTGCCCAAACACGTAAACATTATCATATATCTAAACCATATCTCGTTCATATTCCTATTCTTAAAAAACAAGTACTTTTAAAAAGTTACAGTTATATGCTTATTTTATTTTATATGAGGAGGTTAAGAAAAATCTTAAACAGGTAGAGCACCCAATAAAACACTGTTTTAACTATACAGCTTAATTTGCCCATTTTGAATAAAAACAGTATTTCTTATCTGTAACTTACATTGTTTAGTTAAGTCCTAAGCCTTACTTATTTTTGAAATAATAAATTGAAAAAAAAATGCATACCTCCCCAAAATGCAATCAATAATAAAATTTCATATTTTCTTCTAGTCTTTTCCCCATATGTATTTTTCTCTCCCCCATCACCAGTTTTATTGAAGTATAATTTATATACAATAAAAGTGACCCATTTTAAGTGTGCAGTTTGATAGTTTTGCAATTGTATACAGTTGTATAACCACCACCAAAATCAAGATATAGAACTTTCCATCACCCCAAAAAGTTGCCCTGTGCTAGTCTGCTGTTAATTCTTTCCTTCAGGCCCAGGAAACCACTGGTCTGGTTTCTATCTGGTTTTGCCTATTCTATCATTTCATATAGTTTATTATGTTTGACTTCTTTCATTTAACATAATGTTTTTGAGATTCATTCACACTGTTGTGTGCATCAATTTTTCATTCCTTTTTATTGCTGAAAATAACACAAGTTGTTTATCAATTCACCAGCTGATGGTCATTCTGGTTGTGCTCAGTCTCGGGCTATTATGAATAATGTTACTATGAACATTCACGTACAAATCTCTCTGTGGACATATATTTTCATTTTTCATAGGTAAAATATCTAGGAGTAGAACTTCTGGTTTACAGTAAGTATATGTTTAACTTCAGAAAACAGCTTGGCAGTTTCTAATAAAGTTGTTACATAATTTTCTATTCCTACTAGTAATACCTGAGCATTCCAATTGCTCCACATCCTCATGAACATTTAGCATTGTTAGTTTTTGACATTTTAGCCATTATAATAGATGTATAACGATGTTTCATTGTGGTTTTAATTTACATTTGCTTAATGAATAATGACACTGAGTATCTTTTCATGTGCTCTTTTGCAATCCATATAGCTTCTTTGTTGAAGTGTGAAGAATTTCTTCAAAAAAAGCCTGCTGAAATTTTGATTGGGATTGCTCTGAATCTACAGATCAATTTGGGGAAATTTGTTATTTTAACAAAATTGAATACTCCACTACATGAACATAGTATATCTCTTCTTATATTTAGGTCTTCTTAAATTTTCCTCAGAAATATTTTGTAGTTTTCAGTGTACAGGTCTTACCTATCTTTCATTAAATTTATTCCTAAGTATTTTATTTTTTGATACAATTTTTTTTTAAATTTCATTTTGCAAGCGTTCGTTTCTAGTTAGAATTGATTTTTGTATTCTGATCTTGTATCCAGTGACCTTACAAATTCACTTAATAGCTCGAGTAGCTTTTTTGTATGTTCTAGAAGATTTTCTATATACAAGTATCATGTAAATAGATGGTTTAACTTCTTCCTATCCAATCTGAATGCTTTTTATTTCTTTAATTTGCCTTATTGCATTGGCTACCACCATGTTGCATAGCAGTAGTGAAAGTAAACATTCTTGCCTTGTTTCTGATCTTGTTGTTGTTGTTGCTGTTAGGTGCCGTCAAGTCACTTCCAACTCATAGCGACCCTACGCACGATAGAACGAAACACTGCCTGGTCCTGTACCATTCTCACAATCGTTATGCTTGAGCTTATTCTTGCAGCCACTGTGTCAGTCCATGTTGTTGAGGGTCTTCCTCTTTTTCACTAATCCTCTACTTTACCAAGCATAATATCCTTCTCCAGGGACTGATCTCTCCTGATAACATCTCCAAAGTATGTGAGACATAGTCTCACCATCCTTGCTTCTAAGGAACATTCTGGCTGTATTTCTTCCAAGACAGATTTGTTTGTTCTTTTGGCAGTCCATGGTATATTCAAAATTCTTCGCCAACACCACTATTTAAAGGCGTCAATTCTTCTTCAGTCTTCCTTATCTATCACTCAACTTTCATACTGGTGAGGAACTCACCAGTGAATACAACCAGGCCTGGAGTATATTTGTAGGAAGACTTTTTAATTGCTAATTCAATTTCCTTAATTTTATATTTCTTTTTGGGTCAGTTTTGGTAATTTGCATCTTTCAAGAAATTTGTTCATTTCTTCTAAATTGTCAAATTTTTTGACATAAAATTGTCCCTAATATTCCCTTATTATTCTTTTAACGTCTGAAGGATCAGCAGTGATGTCCCGTCATTTATTCTTGATATTGGTAATTTGTATCCCTTTTTCTTGGTCAGTCTAACTAGACATTAATTTCGTTGATCATTTCAAAGGATCAACTCTAGCATTCTCTGATTTTCTGTACTGTCTCTCCACTTTCTACATCAACTTTTGCTTTATTTCCTTCTATTTTGACTTTAATTAGCTCCTTTTTCTAATTTACAAAGGTGAAAAGTTAGATCATCAGCTTAGATTTTTCTTCTTTTCTAAATTAACATTTACGGTTATGAATTTTCCCTCTAAGTACAGCTTTAGTTGCCTCTCCCAAATCTTGACATGTTGTGTTTTCATTATCACTTGGCTTAAGTTATTTTCTAATTTTTCTTGTGATTTCTTCTTTGCCTTTGGATTATTTAAAAGTGTATTCCTTGATTTCCAAATGTTTAGAGCTTTCCTAGATATTTTATTTATTTCTAATTCTACTTCATTGTAGTTGCAGAACATTCTCTGTACGGTTTCAATATTTTAAAATTTATTGAGACGTGTTGTATGGCCATGCATATGATCTATCCTGGGAAAATACCACATATACTTGAAGAATCATGCATACTGTGCAACTGTTGACTGTAGTGTTTTAAAATCTAAATTAGGTTAAGGTGGTTGATAGTGTTCTTCAGATCTTCTGTCTTTGCCGATACAGTAAAAACTGAAAGCTGAAACCTGCGTAAGGTGGAAACCTGTCATAGAAGGAAAACTCAAATATTTTCCACTAAAATGGGCGACAGAAAAGTGGTAAGACTGCATCCCGTAAAAGGTGGAAAACTTGCGGGACGCAGAAAAACAAGGTAGTCCTGTTGAGTTCTGGCTCTCAAAGGTTTCACTGTATTTTGTCTGGATGTCCTATCATTTGCTAAGGAAGGGTTTTAATCTCCAACTACAGTTGTAGAATTACCTATTTCTTCCCTTAATTCTGTTATTCTTTGCTTCATGTATTTTGAAGCTCTGTGATTAAGTGCAAACACATTTATTATTATGCATAAATTTGTCTTTTACTCTATCTGGGAAATTTTTGGCCTTAATTTTTAACTACTTTTTTGGCTCCATTTTCTGGGCCTCCTGGGGCTCCAATTATACACATTAGATCACATGATATTATGTCACAGATTCTTAAGTCTCTGTTCATTTTTTAAAATTATTTTTCTCTTGTGTGTTCCACATCGGATAATTTCTGTTGATCTAGTTTCAAATTTACTTACTCTTTCCTCTGAAATCTCCATTCTGTTGCAAAGTTCTATAAATTTTTAATTTCAAATATTGTATTTTTCAGTTCATCAATTTCCATCTGATATTTCTTAACATTTCTATTATTCTGCTAAGCTATCCTATCGTTTCTTTTATTGTAACTATATCTTCTTTTACTTCATTGAGAGTACTTACAACAGCCGCTTTCAAATCCTTGTGGCTACTTCCAACACTAGATATCTTGGGGGTTGGTCCCAATTGATTTTCTTTTCCCTCGAGAATATGTTCCATCTTCTTGGGTCTTTGTAAGCTGGGTAATTTAATGTTAAGTTGTGGTGATTCTAGCTACTATTATGTTTCTCCAAGGAGGGCTGTTCTTTTTGTTCTACCAGGCAATTATTTGGTTGAGCTTGAATTACAAAATATATTTTTTGGGAGTGGCAGCTCTGTTCTAGGGTCATCCAGAGATGGACAGATAGAATCTTTGGCTCTTTCCCTTCTGAGATTCCTGCTGCCTTGCCAGTGTGGTCACAGTTTCCCCAAATTTAGTCTTTTGGTCCCCCAGGCCAGAGAGACTGCAGTGTTTTCACCAGTGTACCATGTTAATTGCACCTGGCCCTGGGCTACAAGTCAGGAAAATGGGACACACTTTGTATAATTCCTCTCCTATGAGGGTGGATTTCTCACCAGAATGTGTCTACAATTGTACTCTCATCAGCGCCTTCATGTAATTGCTTTTTGTATTAAGTCCAGATGTACAGAGAGGAGGACTGGTCTAGTAGGACATTATTCTGGCATTAGTGTCCATATATATTTCTAACACAGGGAAACTACATAAGTCTTTTGAATTCCACTTTATACATTTATCAGTATATCATAAAATCATTTCTTTTTATTCATAAGCATAATATATTTTAAAATAACTGTATTTTCCCTTATTTGAAAGGGCATATTTGTATCTTTTCTTCCTATATATATATGTACAGATTTTTAAAAGCACGGTTGAGACTCAACTACATAGACTATTTGAATTCTGCTTTTCACTCAATATTATAATCATAAGCCATTTCAAATTTTAGTGTGCATCAGAATCACCTGAGGAAATTGTAAAAATGCATATTCCCAAGCCTAGTAATTTTGATTTAGTAAGTCAGGAGTGGAGTTCAGGATTTCAAAATGTTAACTAATACTCTAAGTGATTCTGAAACTGATGGCTCATGGATATCACATGAAAAACATGAGTTCTTCCAAATAATAAATTTTTCAACCCATAGAGAAATGGTTACATTATAATCTTACTTCATACACACTATATACATAAAAATAAATCCCAGAAAAATTAGAGAGCAATGGAAATAAAAAGTATGAGAATATGTAAGTGAATTACTATATAAACTAAAGTGAGAAAGAGTTTCTAACCATGACCCCAAAAGCAAAAACCACAGAAGGAAAAATTCATAGTTAACTACATCAAAATGTCAAGAAATAGATTCTTTAAAGGAATATACTTTGCCCAGATGTATTCAATATAAATTTAATTTAAGCTCAAGCAAATGAACTAATTCTAAGAACAATAATAAACTATCAAAACTGACCTAACACGAAGTTTCTATATGAGCAAACGCATAACCAAAAAAGAAACGAAGTTATCAAAACAGTGCTCCTGCAAAAGCTGAATTTAGCCAATTCTTTCAAATTATAAAGGAACAGATGGCTCTGACAAACATAAATTATACTATAACATAGAAAAAACAAGGCCAACTGCTCAAGTTGTTAAGACTCAATACAAAATGTCTTAAACAAGAGTAGAAAACACACTCATAAAAGCCATTTACATTATAGCCTGGGAGGGAATAATCCAAATGAGAAATGTACATAACCTTGAGAAGAAAACAAGTAATCACTCTCCGAAACAAACAAAAAGCAAAAACAAAGCAAAACAAACATCAAGGGAAATAAAGGGCATCTTGAAGAAATGTTCCTGAATCAAAAACTATCGTTAGATTTCCCTGTCACAGACTTGTCTATGGTCTACCCCAGCCCCCTAGGGTAATCAAAACTTGGATTTCTGTTTATATATTTTATTTTTCCTATTTTACAACAATTGGTTTTTCCCCCTAAGGTTTAAAATTTCTTAGGTGAAATTTAATTATTTTTCTCCATTTAAAATTTTTAAAAATTGTCATTGTTTTCATTGTATTGAAGTTTCCTACTGTAACCATATTTGTCTATTTTCCCTTGTACTTACAAAAGTTTTTATTGTATGCTTTGGTCCAAAGTTAAATGCCATTACTGACTGACCATGGAGGTATTCTAACTGTATCTGGATTCTTTATCTCTCTATTCAAAGACTAAAAAATAGAAAGATTGACCCCTGAGGCTCAGTGAGATGGAAGAAAAAAACTTGGTACGTCGAAAGGAAAAAGAAAGATATTATGCACTAAAAGGGTGATGTCTGTGATGCACTTACACATATTTGATGAAATATGAAACAGACATCTCTCTATGAATGGCTAAAAAACAGTATAAGAGAAAAGGCCATTATACAAGTAAATATAGTACTTAAAATGAAATATAAATTCCCTTCTGAAAACAGCCTGAGACACTGTCTAAGTAAAAACTCACCAGAAACTACTACCTCTCAGAAAAGGGTATGGGTTGGAACAGGTGGAAACTCACCATAGAACTTGGACTTAGCCAGGATACTGCCACTAAGGCAAAATCCATCCTTTCGGTTACTAACATAAAAGGCAGATATTGGTGGATGATGGGACACCTATCAAACATAGGGGGAAAAAAAAAAAAAAATATATATATATATATATATATATATAAGCATAAGCATATTATCAAAACTTCAATTCTTAAAAGTATACTCTAATAATGGGTAATAAGTAATGTATGGTTAAGCAGTAAAATTAAACATTAATGGCTGTGGTAAACAGCCTCCAAGATAACCCCCAAGGAATTCCACTGTTGAGTACCATTGCATCAAGGTTGGTTTGTGTTGTACAGAAGTGATGGTACATCACATCTGATATTAGGTTATAAAAGATATGGTGGCTTCCATCTTAGTGTCTGTCTCCTTCCGATCATGAGCTCTGGGAAACCAGCTTCATATTGTGAGCAACCCTAAAAAGAGGCCCTTGTGCTGAGGAACTCAGTCCTTTTTTTAACAGCCAGGTGAATAAGTTCGGAAGTGAATCTTCCAGCCCAGTGACACCTTCAGATGACTGCAAAGCTGGCTGACATCTTGACACAACTCCAGGAGAGACACTAAGCCAGAATCACTCAGCTAAGCAGCTCCCAGATTCCTGAAGCTCACTGTATAATATAATGAATATTTGTGTTTTAAGCTAGTCAGTTTTGGCAATAATTTATTACTTGGCAATGGATAATGAATACAATGGTTATTCTTCATATGGATTACTGAATAGGCTGCAGGAAACTAACAAAAGCATTGAAAAACATGTTATTTTAATAATCTACTATCTCCAAATATTTATACCTAATGTTTTCTGAAATGGAGACAAAATTAAAATCAAACTCTTCTCAAGCTTTTTAATTTTGTGAAGAATTATTATGAACTAAAACACAAGGTAGTATAATCATTAATTTTTAAAACATTAATACAGATGAGTGGTTTCAACCTGAGTGTATCAAAATCTCTAACAGAAGGGAAAGATTTTTCAAATGACACACAGTGTCCTCATCCTCCTTACACTCAAGGTAAGGATTATTAAGGAACCATTGTTATTGAGATAGAATGTCATTATTTCTTGGGTTTCTGTGAATGGGAGAAAGATTGAGAATCATAAATATACATGTACATAAGTTTAAACAAAAAAAATTAAAAACTAAGAAATATTTTCTGACTGCCTACTATGTGCACAACAAAAAGAGAGGTGGAGGATGTGGCATGTCTTCTAGGAGCTACAAATTCCGTCTGGGAAATAAATATAAAAATACAAGTGTTAAAAGAAAATAATAGCTTAATGGATAATCAAAAAAAGATAATGCACAAGTTTGAGATGGTACAGATCACTGGGAGCTGCACTCATTTGGCTCATGAAGAATAAGCAGGTCAGGGTTTATTCAGATGAAGAATAGCTGAGAATAAATACTTGGGTGGGAAACTAAATTTAAAAACAATTAGCTAGGAGTGGAGGTCTCAGAAGGGCATGCAACTTGAGATAAAACTTGGAAAGTTTATGGAGGACTTCAAATGCCCGACAAACAGGTTTAAACTTGATTTAGGAAGTGGGGAACCACTAGAGAATTTTAAATATGATCAAAAAGGTGTTTTAGAAATACGAGTTTGGGAAAACAAGAAAAAAGGCAGGAAAAATATAGCTTTATTTATTGTGAAGAGATTCCATGACTGCAATAGTAATACTTACGAATATAGTATTTGGTAGTGCTCAGTACTAAAAGGTTAAATGCTTACCAAATATTCACTAATAAATATGGTTAATCAAGAGTGAGTTTACTGAGTTAATGTTATCTATAAAAATATCCCAATAATTTCCAAATCAGTTTTGCTACAGCAACATGCATTTCTAATACCTGTTCAGCAATATAAAAAGTTTTGCTGTTTGTTCTGGGATGAATCCATAAACACCGGAAAGTCTCACCAAGTATAGGATTATATGGTTTCTTCAATCCCTAGTAAAAAACATACAAGTTTCAAATTACAAATATGAAGAATCAAAATAGGCCAACTCTTCAGACAGGGATTGGAGTGGACTGTGGGACATAAAGTGATACTTGTGAAGAATATGCCTCTTAGACAAGTAGATACAAGAGACCAAAGGGGCGGCTTCTGTCCAGAGATGAGATGGGAAGGCAGAGAGAGTTAGGAGCTGGCTGAATGTTCATGGGCAATCAGGGGCGGAGGGGAGGAGTGTGCTGTCGCAGAATGGGGTGAGCGGTTGGGGTCTCATAACAATGTATGTAAAAAAAAAAAAAATTCTGTATGGGAGACTAACTTGAAACGTAAACTTCATTTAATTACAACAATAAAAAAATTAAAAAAAGACTCAAAATAATTTAAACCAGCCAAAATGAGTTCAACTGTGTCATGTGGGAAGCAGTGACATGAAACAGAATTAAATGATTTCAACCATAATGCAAATCTAAAATGATCAAATAGTTTGCAATTTTGCTAACTCAAAGATGTCCATTAATGCAATTATTAATAAATATCTAAAGATAACAAAAAATAAGGAACTTTTACAAAGCTGCTGCTGTTATGTTGTTAGGTGCCATTGAGGAGATTCTGACTCATAGGCACCCTATGTACAAAAGAACGAAACATTGCCCAGTCCTGTGTCACCCTCACAATCGTTGCTATACTTGAACCCATCGTTGTAACCACTGCGTCAATCCATCTCATTGAGGGTCTTCCTCTCAAGCATGATGTCCTTCTCCAGGGACTAGTCCCTCCTGATAACATGTACATGAGACAAAGTCTCACCACTCTCGCTTCTAAGGAGCATTCTGGTTGCACTTCTTCCAAGACAGATGTGTTCGTTCCTCTGGCATTCCATGGTATATTCAATATTCTTCGACAACACCACAATTCAAAGGCATTCAGTCTTCCATATTCACCGTCCAGCTTTCGCATGCATAGGAGGCAACTGAAAATAGCATAGCTTGGGTCAGGCGCCAGTGACATCTTCCCTTTTTAACACTCTAAAGAGGTCTTTTGTAGTAGATGTGCCCAACGCAATATGTCATTTGATTTCTTGACTGCTGCCTCCATGAACGTTGATTGTGGATCCAAGTAAAATGAAATTCTTGACAACTTCAATGTTTTACATATTTTGGGAGAAAATATACAAAGCTAAAGAAAGTAAAATGAGAATATTACCTTTGGCTTTTTATAGAATCCTGACAAATACCATTTCACTACTTTCTTCAAACGGAAATAAGGATTTTCTTCAAGAGCAGCCCTAAAAAACAAAATGGTAAACATAAAATATTACAAAATCTATCACAAATTCTCCTTTATATTTAGCAAGCCAACAACTAGTATGAGATATATTTGGAAAGCATTAGTTTGTATTTAAAAGATGACAAAAAAAAAAAAAAAAACACGTAAATCAATTTCCACGAATCATTTTTCATAATCTAGTTTTTTTCTCCCCATTTTTCATATTCTTTGACACACCATCCAGGTCTTTACTAAAGTAGTTTTTGAAACTCTCCAAACTGAGGTTTCTCAACTGGGGTTCTGCAGAACCCTAGATGTTGCTAGGGGTTCCATGAGAAAATGTGATTGGGGGAAAAAAAAAAACTCACATAGATTTTGAAATTTATGCACTGCGTGATGCGCAGCACTTGCAATGATGGACAGTGGCCAAGCAGCCCCATTTACAATTTTGTTAGAGGTCTTCAGCCCCGTATGTCAGTGAAGAACCACGTTCACTTGGTTAAGTCCATTCTCAGATGTTGATGCTAGTTAGAGGCTGATGATAAGTGTGCTGTATTAGATGGAGGGGAGGACAGCAGACTGATGTCAGTCTCTCCCTTGCAAATTACCTCCCTCACCAAGTATACGATTATATAGTTTCTTAGTCCCTAGTAAAAAACACAGAAGTGTCAAATTACAAATATGGATGATTTAAAATTATTTAAATCAATCAAATCTTCAATCACCCATACATGCTGCCAACTGATTTTCCTGAATGAACAAACTCTACAAGTATAACATAATGAGAGCGTAATTTTCATCTTACAAGAGAAATTTTCAGGAGTCGTGACTTAGCTGCCCCTTCTGCCATTTTGCTGTTGTTGTAAATTTTGTAAAATATTGTGCATGTTAGAAGTAATTCTATTATGAAGTTTTCTTTTCTTTGCAGTTTAGTTGTTACTATGTCCTTATTTATAAAAAGGTTTTGTATTTCATAAGCAGGTCTGATGGCCCGACATGGTGACTTTTGAGGAAGAAGTGTGAGATGGAAGAGGCTAGGCCTAAGTCTACCAACAACTGTGACAATCTAAGGGATGCTGACTTTCCCAAATTGACAGGCTGTGCTTTCTGAAGTAACAACCCTCTGCTTGCTTTCTTCCTATCTTAGTTTAAATTCTCTTCCTATGCAATTTTATTTTAAATTTTATACCACATAGTTCAAAAAAGAGTATACCATGTCTTGGTATCACCCCATCTCTCTATACTGTTCCTACAGTTAACTTTTTTTGTTGTTGTTGATAGCTTCTCACTCTTTTTAAAACGGTTTCCATTAAACATAAACAAGCAAGTATGTAGTCTTACCTCCTTTTCTTTAAAAAGAAAAAGAAAAAAAAAGGCAGCATACTATACACTATCACATATGTAATCCTGGAGGTCCCTTCATTTCAGTTGGTAGAGCTTTTCCTCATGTGGATGGAGTACCATACTCTATTAACCAGTCTACTACAGCCAGACATTTGAGTGATATCCAATTCTTTATTATTATTAAGAAACATGCTGCAACAATTTTACATATATGTTACTTTGTATATGGATAGTTATAGCTGTAGGAGTGATTCTCAGAAGAGAAACTACTGGATCAAAGAATGAATGTACCTATGGTTTTGGTAAACACTGCCAGGTCTCCTTCAAAGAAAGCCTTGTGCTATTCTGTATCTCTCATCAGCAATGAATGACAGTGCCTGATGCCTGAACGCCTCTGCAGCAGTGTCTGTTGCTAGAAAAGTGCAACTTGCAACCTGGGAAAATGGACCTCTCTCAAGATCTTATTCCAATTCAGAGGGACCTATTTCATATTCTGCAAGAAATAAATTTCTAGACAGACAAAACAAAGAAGAGCTGAAGAAGATATAAGGCCAAGCTGGAGTATAAAAGTTTTAGGACTGCTTGTCAATGTGATGAATGAACAAATTTATCCTACTGTAGCTTGGATCTACACTTTTCTTATTTTGAGTGAGGTTTACATTTATCAATTGTCCTTTGACTTAGCTTATGATTTTTCTTTTTTTTTTTGCAATGTTCATTAATGCAACCAAGAGACAGACGCTGAATACACAAGTTGATGTAGATTCTAAAAAATCAGGTCACAGTACCAGGAATTCGTATTTTAGAAAACATGGTGCCTTGAAATACCACTGCCACTGGAATGGGGCAGCAGGTGAGAATTGAAAAGTTATTATCTTTTACTGTTTCTCCAAGAAACTGTTGGGACAGAGGTAGACAGCTCCTCCTCCAACTCCTTTATGCTTACGTCTGTTAGAATTAGGTCTCGGATTAGCTGGTGGGAAGAAAAGTGAAGATGAGAGTGGGCAGAGCAGAGTTATGCCAAGAGTCAGCAACCAGGGGACACTCTGGTTGTGTAAGCTGCACATGGTCCAAGCATGCAGAGATGGTAAGTATAAAAAGAAGCACAAGCCCCAGTATGGAACTTGAATGATGGCTTGGGCAGAGAAGAACAAATAATGCCAATTACCTCTTCCCATGTTAGGTCAGTGAACGGGTTGGGGGAGACTGAAAGCAGTGTTGTTCATGATGGGTACAGTTCCTATCTTCCTCAAATTTGTGATCACTCAAGCCAATTTCATAAATGGAAACATTACAGTGAAGTATTAAGTATGCTTCATATTCCTTTTAATTGAAGAAGTGGTAGAGAAGAGGGAGCACGTATCATTAGCGCCTTATTTTGGCAAGGCATAATCATTGAAAACAGCACTGCAGAGAATCTCTGAAGCCAAAAAGTTACCTCTTGTTTTAAGAAATAAGAATCTACTTACTCAGACAGGAAATCTGCATGATAGTAGTAATCTGAAAGTTTATCCAGGAAAGAACGAGGCTCCAGAATAAATGTAGGCAGAACCACCCTTGACAGGTCCATGCCAGGACGGACTTGTTTCAACAGTGTCCAGATAAGACTTTTGTTTTCTTCAGACACAGTTTCTGTTTGAGAAGCCTCACCTGCCTTTAGAAAATAACAAAAAATAATGAAATACTATTTATTTTAGACACAAAAATATGTAGATAAGACAACTAATGTTTAAAATATGTATTTTCCACAGGACTATTCCAAGCATTCTTAAAGTACAGAAATAACCCATTAACTAGTAAATTCTATAGCTATAAAATTTAAGTAAAAAGGATAGTGCAAGAGACAAAGTAAATAATATGTATAAAAGATCCATTATAAAAAACATTAGGCTGTATTAGTTTATACTAACGTCTATAGACTAATAATAATAAGAAAGTTGAAAACTCATGTTTCCTAGCAATTTACTTTGCACCTGGTTATGATGTGAAGAGATATCCTATTTCAATAGTGAACCTGAATAAAATGTAAACTTTATATTTAACAGAATATACTGGCATGTGTGCAAGTACATATGTTAAGCTGTTTATAAATTCTAACATATTTTAAATGTATGCAACTTTTAAAATAAAATGGGTAGCACAAAAATATTGTCTTTCAGGAAAATAAGTAATTTCATCTGAAAATTCTCCAAAATTAGAAAATCAAAATCTCTGAAAAGAATAGATTTTTACCTCTCCCAGTTCTTCATGGCTCTGTTCAGAGTAGGTAGTCTCTTTTAAAGGCTCAACAGGCTCAGGTTCAATGTATGAGTCATCCTGCCTTTCTGATGTATCTGTGTCACTTTCTTCACTTTTCCCCATCGCTTCATTGTCAGACTCATCATGCTCCTGATCATTTTCTTTATCAGATTTATCAGAATACATATCTTGGTCCTTAAAATGCTGTCGTTCAATTTCGTTATCATTTAATCTTAGGGGAAAGAAATCAGGATAGATACAGGAGGTTAAAGATATTTAATTCATAAATAAGAATGAAGCTAACTTCTTTGAGAATTTACTACATGAGTAGTAAATGGAGGCAAAGAGAAGTTAAATAAAAACCTGGGGAAATGTTAAAAAAATGACACTCTGAGCTCTGTTTCTCTACCATTGGGGCTAAGATTTTCCAACAGCAAAATTTCAGACTATCTCCTGCTAGATTTTTCTTTTAATTAGTTTCACAAACATCATTGCTTGAATCAGTCTCATTGTCACTTCTGGTCTGAAGAAAAAATTCAAGCCAAGATCACCAGATTCTCAAGTGAACTCAAATGAATTGTGACTTTCCACCTACAAAGGTCTCCAAAGTCACTCAAAATAAGTTCAAGAATAATATGGGAAAATGTAAAAGACAAAGAATTCTAGCATAGAACTGAAGTCAATTCTATCCAATAACTGACTGATAGGCTCAGTCTTGGGGCAAAAATTCAGGGAGAACTGAAACTGGCAATTTCAACTTAAAGAAATGGACTGGTAGCCTAAAACTGACAAGGCCTGCTATATTCAGACTCTTAAATTACTTAAAGTGATTAGGGTAAATAATTTTTACAAAACGAGGGCAAAAAAACTCCCAAACAAACAAAAACCCCACTTCCAGAATCAAATATTTTTTAGAAATTTCTTATTTGAGAAAGTATCTGTGGGTTTCATTTAGCACAAAAATCTTATAGTGATGAACATTAAAATACTTTACAAATGAATAAAGGCTGCTATTACATAACTGACATTTTAACAACGTTGAGATAGGTAATACGGCAGAGATGTCCTATTTGGTTCTTGTTTTCCAAAATCTTCATTTGTTTGGGTTTTAACCAGGGAATTTTTAATAGAAATTCATTTTTTTTAATACTTAATGTTTTCTTTCTTTCCATTTACAATCATATATATTTAAAAAATAGTCTAAAACTCCTGCTGTTTCCTTCCCATCCGCTGCTGTTAGCTGTTGTCGAGCGTGTTGACCCTATGCACAACAGAATGAAAGGCGGCCTGGTATTGTGCCATCCCAGTGATCAGGTTTTCATTGGCTAATTTTTAGAAGTAGACTGCTAGACCTTTCTTCCTAGTCCATTCTAGTCTGTAAGCTCCACTAAAACCTGTTCAGCATCATAACACAGAAGCCTCCACTACCAGACGAGTGGTGCTGTGCATGAGGTTTAGTGGTTGGGAATCAAGCTCGGGTTTCCCGCATGAAAAGTAAGAACTCCACTGAACCCCCAACACCTCCTTCCTTACCATCTAGCATCTCCTCAACCTCTCACTGTCTGGTTTTCACACTCTTCAGTCCACTGAACCTGGACCCTTCAAAGGTCACCAATGATGGCTTAGTTGCCAAATCCAATGGCCTTGTCTAAGCTTTACCTCCTGTGACTTCTCTGTATCACTGGACTTTGATGATAATTATTTTCCTTGAAATTGTCTCTGTGCTTGGGTTCCAAGTTCTTAGGGCTCAATGATTCCTCTGACTTCCTCCCATCCTTTAGAGAGCTTCATCTTCCTCAGCCTTTTCTCTCCTTTGGCAAACTATCTAATTTCAAGGTTTCATCATCATTTCTATGTGATGATTTCCAAATCCATGCATTCAGCACTAAGATTCAGACCCATGTTTCTAAATGCTTGGCTGACATCACCTGTATGTTCTGGGGCTACCTTATTATGAACATGTACAATCTTTAACAAATTATCATATTACCTCCCAAACACACTCCTTTGTTCTACTGTACCATCATCTTCCCAGTCACTCAGGGTTAAAATTTGAGAATCACCTTTAACTTCAACCACACCCTGTTCCTTATATCCAAGTCCACTGTCTCTGGAGGGAAGGGTCTCTCTATCATCTCTGTATCATCAGCTCCCAGCTCATTTTCTGTCACATAACTGAATGAACATATTGATTCTACTTTCGTAAAATCTCTTATCAATATCCTCCTCTCATGTCTTACAGTCACCAAACCATTTTAGACCCTCATTAGCAGTCACCTGGAACTATCACAACAGTCTTCCTTTGGATCTTATTACTCTTCAAACAATGTTATAGATTAATTTTCCTCATTACATCACTTTCCACTATCCATATAGAATAAAGTACTAACTCCTTAGCACTGCATTAAGGATTCCTGTGACCTGGTCCAAACCTACCTTTCCATCATTATTTTCTGCAACTGCCCTTATTCTACCCTTGTGTTCTTATGATTGACACTTAAGCCAAAATGAATTATTCTTTACTGTGCATATCTGTGGAGCCCTGGTGGCATAATGGTTAAGAGCTCAGCTGCTAACCAAAAGGTCAGCACTTCGAATCCACCAGCCACTCCTTGGAAACTCTATGAGGCAGTTCTACTGTCCTATAGGATCACTATGAGTTGGAATTGACTTGATGGCAATGGGTTTGGTTTTCTGTGCATATCTACTACCCCTCATGTTCCCAGGTTTTCTCTAATTTTTATGGCATGCTATTTCTTTTTCCTGTAATATCCTCTTCAAATATCCAAAACCAAAACAAAACAAAAAATAAACCATCCTCCAAGGGTCAGGTCAAATGCCAACCTTCACACTAAGCTTTCCCTGATTTCATAGCCAGATATTATGTTTTCCTCCTCCAAATTCTCCTGATTCTATACTTTGTTATTGTTGTTAGATGCCATCGAGTCGGCTTTAACTCATAGCAACCTTATGTACAACAGAACAAAAGGCTGCCCGGTCCTACGATATCTTCATAATCGTTGCTATGTTTGAGTGTGTTGTTGGAGCCACTATGTCAATTCACCTCATTGAGAGTCTCCCTCTTTTTTGCGGACCCTTTACTTTTACCATCCTATACTTACATTAAAGCATTTCTCTTTTTTTTTTTTTTTTTTTTTTTGTTCTTATCTTCCCACTCTATTTACATTTGCCTGTCTCTTTACAGGTTTCAAAGAAAACAAAAACACCTCCAAGGTTACATAGCTAATAAATGGTGGCATGAGATTCAAATTTAGGATTCACACCTGATTCCTCTCCCTACTTGCAAAGCACCTGATAGTGTCTGATAGAGAAAAGAGTCTCAAAAAATTTAATGAATAAATATACAAAGCAGGTAAATTTTTAAAAAGTCCCAAGATAAGAACATTTAAAGATTACCTGGTGTTCAACAAAATCAATAAACTTTTTACAGCTGAAGAGTTTCAATGTCTAATAACAGGAAAAATCTTGGGAAGAGGCCTCAACAAATGTCAGTTCCTATACCCACTATCCTCTTTACCTCCCCTCAACCCAATTCCATCCTATTCAGACTCCAGGTACTTGGGACTAAGATCAATCTCCAGATAGGCATGTAAAGAAATGATGTAAAAGGTCAGGAAATAGAGGTTTCTAAAGAGATTATAAAATAATAAGAGTCAAGAAAAGGAAAGAAGAAAAAGGTTCAGCTCAGGTTACATGGAGGACAGTAGCAGTGCAGCCTTCAGAAGAGTAACTTCAGTGCTGATGGGAATAAGTGGCTTGCAGAGTAGCAGTTGAGGGCTGGGAGAGGGGAGGAATGGGAGAAGTCTAATGCTTTTCTTACCAAGGAACAAAAGAGATCTGAACCTCAACAAAGCATTTGTACCGCTGCCCAGTTTTTCTGGAGTAATACTTTTTTTAGTATTAACCACAAAAGATGCTTTAGGGGATAAAATCACAAATTGGATACAGTCCCAACTCTCTAAACACTCAGAATATAACAGGAGAATTCCACAAATACTAGTGCCATTAAAAAAAAAAAAAAAGTGCTATAGAATAGCAATGGAAGGACAGATTACATTTCATTATTATGAGGCAGAAAGGCTTCCCACATGATATAATATTTGAGATCTATCTTGAAGAATACATAGGATTATGACAGAAGAAAAGAACAATGAGGAGCAGAATCCATTTTAAATGGAGGAAACACCATGCACAAAGGCACGGTGGATAGCGAGCATGGGTGTATCTGGGAAAGAACAAGTAACTCATATGGGATGGAATCAAGTAAATAAATTTCTACACCTATAATAGCAACTAAATAAATTGTAAACCAGGCTTTAGGCCTATCATGGGAAGAAGACAGATAGTTTCAATACCAGATACACTGCTAAATTCAAGGCCTGCCAACTAACCTAGTAAATTACATGGTCTCTGAAATAATTACCAAATTAGTGTCAATATCTACTTACGGGAAGTTGTCACCACTGTGGAGATTGTTAGCACGTAGTAAGCCATACAAAGTCACATGTGTGCTCTCTGAGGAAATGCTAAGGTCATGTTCTTTTCCTTCTCTGATCATTGTACGCTTAAGAAGACTAGAACATTTCAAAGCCAACTCCAAAGCATCCATCCAGCACCTGCCTAGAAAACATAGATTTGTAAGCAGTATGATTCAAGAAACTATAAAATCTAGTATTCCTCTTAATTTAGCACTATTAACTTTAAACATATTACTCATTTTTTTGAGAAACATGTACTGGAAACTTATTTTGAACATTAAAAATCTTTAATGTCTTCTACATAGGTGTTTATTTTATTGTTGTAGTTTAAGTGAAAGTTTACATTTCAAGTTAGTCTCTCATACAAAAATTTATACATACATTTGTTATGTGACCCCAATTGTTCTCCCTATACTGTGACAGCACACTCTTCCTTTCCACCTCTGATTTCCCATGTCCATTCAACCAGTGCCTAACCCTCTCAGCCTTCTCATCTCACCTCCGGACAGAAGCTGCCCATTTAGTCTCATGTATCTACTTGAGCTAAGAAGCACACTCTTCACGAGTATCATTCTATGTCCCACAGTCCAGCCCAATCTTTGTCTGAAGAGTTGGTGTCAGGAATTGTTTTAGTTCTGGGTTGACAGAGAGTCTGGGGGCCATGCCTTCTGGAATTCCTCCAGTCTCAGTCAGATCATTGAGTCTGGTCTTTTTACTCGAATTTGAGTTCTGCACCCTACCTTTCACCTGCTCCATCAGGGACTCTCGGTTGTATTCCCTGTCAGGGCGGTCATTCGTGGTAGCCGCACAGCATCTAGTTCTTCTGGTCTCAGGCTGATGAAGTCTCTAGTTTATGCGGCCCTTTCTGTCTTTTGGGCTAATACTTTCCTTGTGTCTTTGGTGTTCTTCATTCTCCTTTACTCCAGGTGGTTGGGACCAACTGACGCATCTTAGATGGCTGCTTGCTAGCTTTTCGCTTGCTAGCTTTTAAGACCCCAGACGCCACTCACCAAAATAGGATGAAAAACATTTTCTTAATAGACTTTGTTATGCCAGTTGACCTAGATGTTCCCTGAAAACATGGTCCCCAGACCCTCGTCCCTGCTACTCTGTTCCTCGAATTGTTTGATTGTATTCAGGAGACTTCTTAGCTTTGGTGTAGTCCCATTGTGCTGACTTCCCCTGCAGTGTGCACTGTCCTTCCCTTCACCTAAGATCATTCTTGTCTACCATGCAGTTAGTGAATAACTCTCCTCCTCCCTCCCCACCCTTGTAACCATCAAAGAATGTTTTCTTCTATGTTTAAACCTTTTCTTGAGTTCTTATAATAGTGGTCTTATAAATATTTGTCCTTCTGTGACTGACTAAATTCACTCAGCATAATACCCTCCAAATTCCTCCACTACATAGGTGTTTACTTTAAATCTCATATAGAAACAGTGTTTAAAATTCTTTCTTGAAATGATTAATGGGTGTAAGAAGAAGCCAAAGAGCTCATTTTCTCCTATAGTATAACAGATTTAAGGTAAACTTGCTAGGATTTCTTAATGCAATCTTCCAGTTTTAATAATGCTTGTTAGATATTATTAAGATATTAGATACTGATAAATGAATCGTATATAGCATGCACCAGAAAGTACAACCTAGCCTAAAATAAATGTATTTTATTTTTAAAACCTTAGAACATTAATATGTAGCGTAATTTGAAGGTAGGAAAAAAGTACATAAAGCATACTAAAAGGAGTATGTTTCTACTATAAACAAACTATCCGGAATAACATTTCATTGTTTATAGGAGAACTGTCTCCAGGTTTAACATCCACTCTATTATATGTATGAAAATTTTTAATGTCAGGGAAATCCCTGTACAATACTGTCATTAACTTCCATAGGACTTAAAAGAAACATTAATAATTTTTTTGAGTTAAAAATTAGAACTGCATTAGCAGGAAAAATGTTAGTAGCTTTTAAAATTCACACATATTTATTTCAAGATCTGCCAGAAATATCAGCCAAGTAAAACATTTTCATACCAGAAGCTCATGTCTATGATATTTTAATGTTGAAAAGAATCATCTGGGAAAAATACACTTCTGGAGGTTATAACATTCCCCAGGCTAAACCAGTCTAAACTATGAAACACTTAAAGTGGGGAAGAAATTCATTATTATTAAGGTTTTGAAGTTACCTTGTTTTTAAATAAGTTTTGCTGTTCCTATATTTGCCTCAGGAATCAAGTATTAAGTTACTAGATGTGGAATAAAAGCATTTGCACTTGAATGTCTTCTTATGTGAAACAACAACAACAAAAACAGCATATAGGCCTCATTCATAAATGTTAATGTTTAATAATAAAATATAAGTAGTATTAAATGTATCTCTAAAATGATAAAATTTAAATGAGTTACCAGAAAGGACATTAACCAAGTCAAAAGCTGTTAGTATCAGAAGAAAACTCTAAGCTGCTAACTCCTACCATTCAATTATACAATACTGGTGTTCCAAGGAATTTATGATTAGAATGCTTCTGCTACAAATGCCATACTAAAAACAAATTCTCCAAAGGATAATATTAAAGTGGTACATAAAAAAAACCTTAAAAATGAGGAACAAAATCCAATCCATCAAAAACTGTATTTACCATCTGACTCTGAAGTAGCTCGGATGATCAAGTAGCTGCTAGGTAAGGGCTGAGTTATGGATCCAACTGCTTCACCTTTTGGACCCTTAATAATAAAATAAACAAAACAAGTGGTGTACAGTATTATAAGATCTCAACTTTACATTATTCATTATTACTTAGAATAATCTAAATTAGGCATGGATTATAATTTAAAAACAAGCAAATGAAGATCTAAGAGGGTTTCACTAATTTTATCCTTCTTGAAAAAGCAAATATTAAGTACTCAGGAGTTTTCCTCTTCTAACAAATGTATCTCCCTAACAGAAAACTGAACAAGTAATCATTATCAGTTACATATTATTTCTACAAATTACTCATATATCAACAAGAGGCTAAACTTTACCATACTAGAACAAATTTTAATTTAACAGAGAATTTCCAACTCTGGTGGCACGGTGGTTAAGAGTTTGGCTGCTAACCAAAAGGTTGGCAGTTCGAATCCACCAGCCGCTCCTTGGAAATGCTTTGGGGCAGTTCTACTCTGCCCTGTAGGGTTGCTGTGTGTTGGAATCAACTCGATGGCAACGGGTTTGGTTTTCAATACTACTGTTGTTGTTGTCAGATGCCACTGAGTCGGTTCCGACTCACAGCAACCCTATGTACAACAGAATGAAACACTGCCTGGGTTCTGCGCCATCCTCACAAACATCATTATGCTTGAGCCTACTGTTGCAGCCACTGTGTCAATCCATCTCATTGAGGGTCTTCCTCTTTTTTGTTGACCCTTTACTTTACCAAGCATGATGTCCTCCTCCAGGGACTAAACCCTCCTGATAACACGTGCAAATATGTGAGACGTAATCTCGCCATCCTTGCTTCTAAGGAGCATTCTAGTTGTATTCTTCTAAGACAGATTTGTCCGTTCTTTTGGCAGTCCATAGTATATTCAATATTGTTTGCCAACACCACAATTCAAAGGCGTCAATTTCTTCTTCAGTATTCCTTATTCATCCTCCAGCTTTCTCATGCATATGAGGCGACTGAAAACACCATGGCTTGGGTCAGGCGCACCTTAGTCTTCAAGGTGACATCTTTGCTTTTGAACGCTTTAAAGAGGTCTTTTGCAGCAGATCTGCCCAATGCAATGCGTCTTTTGATTTCTTGACTGCTGCTTCCATGGGTGTTGACTGTGCATCCAAGTGAAATGAAATCCTTGATAACATCAATCTTTTCCCCGTTTATCGTGATGTGCTTATTGGTCCAGTTGTGAGGATTTTTGTTTTCTTTATGTTGAGGTGTAATCCATACTGAAGGCTGTGGTCTTTGATCTTCATCAGTAAGTGCTTCAAGTCCTTTTCACTTTCAGCAAGCAAGGTTGTGTCATCTGCATAAAGCAGATTGTTAATGAGTCTTCCTCCAATCCTGATGCCCCACATTCAGCTTTTCGGATTACTTGCTCAGCATACAGATGGAGTAAGTATGGTGAAAGGATACAGCTCTGACATGCATCCTTCCTGACTTTAAACTACACAGAATCCCCTTGTTCTGTGTGAATGACTACCTCTTGATCCATATACAGGTTCCTCATGAGCACATTTAAGTGTTCTGGAATTCCCATCCTTTACAATGTTATCCATAATTTATTATGATCCACATAGTCGAATGCCTTTGCATAGTCAATAAAACACAAGTAAACAACTTTCTGGCATTCTCTGCTTTCAGCCAGGATCCATCTGACATCAGCAACGATATCCCTGGTTCCACATCCTCTTCTGAATCTGGCTTGAATTTCTGGCGGTTCCCTGTGGATATACTGCTCCAGCTGCTTTTGAATGATCTTCACCAAAATTTTATTTGCGTGTGACATTAATGATACTGCTCGGTAATTTCCGCATTTGGTCGGATCACCTTTCTTGGGAATAGGCATAAATATGGATTTCTTCCAGTTGGTTGGCCAGGTAGCTGTCTTCCAAATTTCTTAGCTTAGACAAGCGCTTCCAGAACTGCATTCGTTTATTGAAACATCTCAATTGGTATTCCATCAATTCCTGGAGCCTTGTTTTTCGCCAATGCTGTCAGCGCAGCTTGGACTTCTTCCTTTAGTATCACTGGTTCTTGATCATATGCTACCTCCTGAAACGGCTGAATGTCGACCAATTCTTTTTGGTACAGTGACTCTGTGTATTCCTTCCGTCTTCTTGTAATATTTTCCCCACAGAATTCTTCAATATTACAACTCGAGGGTTGAATTTTTTCTTCAGTTCTTCTAGCTTGAGAAATGGTGAGTGTGTTCTTCCCTTTTGGTTTTCTATCTCCAGGTCTTTGCATGTCATTATAATACTTTGTCTTCTCAAGCCGCTCGTCTGGTCTTCGGTCATTAGTGTTCAGTGCTACTAGAGAATAAATTTTAAATTTCTAGAAGCCTAAAGAAAACAGCTAGAAATACAGTTATAATTTACAAGAAAAAGAGAAACGAAGTTTGACTAGTTTTAGGGAAAAAATAAATCTTACCCCGTTTTATAACCAATGATATACTTGTTTTTAAAAGACCAATTATAAAGGCTGATTTTATTTTTCCAGGAACAGGAAAGGAAGAGAGGTTCTATTGTTGTTATTGACTAGGGCTATTTGTTTTAGAAGTATACAACACCAAGAAGTCTACAGTAATTATCACCAAGGCCAAATTTAGGTGGACATTGCCATTAGCTGCAAAGAAAATCTGAGGACTGAATTTACTGTAGAATTTTGATTTAAAAAAAGGCATAATTTTTTAAAAGTATTTTTGGAAGAGTTTTTAAGGTTATCATATCAAATAATAAAATGGATTTTAAGAAACATAAACATTAGGAAAATCAGAATGAAGAAGTAGGGAAAAGATCAGTATGCCTTTCACTAATCTGTAATATCCCTGGGTATTTTTAACTAGCTTTATAATTTATGGCCCAGTTCCTAGAACTAGTATAGAATCAGTCCTGGAGTCAGACTTCCTGGTTTCCATCCTTGCTCCCTGCTAGAAAAATTACTTAAGTGACCTCTTTAAGCCTGAATCTCCTTATTTGTATAATGGAGAAAAATAGTATTCTCCTTATAGGTATGAAAGTTAAATAAAAGATTCCATGTAAAGTGCTGAAAATATTATCTGACACATAAAGAACCCATAAACATAATTATTTCTCAATTTCATACAATGACTTTCAAAATGTTTACACAATGTCTTAAGTAGGTTTTGCTAGCAACGAATATTCTGACAGTCATATAATTGTATAAATTCCGCATCCCTCTTCCTCAATAGGAGCCCTGCTGGCGCAGTGGTTAAGAGCTTGACTGCTAACCAAAAGGTGGGCAGTTCGAATCCACTGGCTGCTTCTTGGAAATCCTATGGGGCAGTTCTACTCTGTCCTATAGGGTCGCTATGAGTCAGAATTGACTTGACAGTGACAGGCTTGGTTTTTTCCCCCAGTATTTGGAATTAAATAAATTTGATACTTTAAAATACCTCTTAATCATTTAAAATTCATTATAATGCTCATAATTTCTAACAGCAGTATAAAGAATATATATTATACATAAAAGGTTTGAAAGTCATTTTTTTCACTTGAGAATCACAGGATATCTAACTATCAGAAGTGCTATGGGTTCAACTCTTTCCTTTGTGGAAAGTAACTAAACCCAGAATGGGACTCGTTCTACAATCCTAAACGTATTCTTGCTGTGACTCCAGACTACAGAAACAAAGGTAAAAATCCTAGGTCTTGTTCTATGTGTATGTAAAATGTCTTATTACACAAGGTGGGGCTGGGGGGAAGCTGAAGTTGCTTTTAGTTAGTCCTAATCTCTGTTAATCTTTGTTAAAAAGCAAGGATGTCACTTGAGGACTAAGGTGCACCTGAACCAAGCCATGGTATTTTCAATTACCTCTTCTGCATGCGAAAGCTGGACAATGAATAAGGAAGACTGAAGAATTGATGCCTTTGAATTATGGTGTTGGCGAAGACTACTGAATATACTATGGACTGGCAGAACAAACAAATATGTCTTGGAAAAGTACAGTCAGAATGTTCCTTAGAAGCAAGGATGGCAACACTTCATCTCACGTACTTTAGATATGTTATCAGGAAGGACCAGCCCCTGGAGAAGGACATCATGCTTGGTAAAGTAAAGGGTCAGTGAAAAAGAGGAAGACCCTAAACGAGATGGATTGACACAGTGGTTGCAACGATGGGCTCAAACATAGCAAAGATTATGAGGATGGTGCAGGACTGGGCAGTGTTTTGTTCTGTTCTACATAGGGTCACTATGAGTCTCAAGTGACTCAACAGCACCTAACAACAACAAATCTCGGTTAACAGGAGCCCTAGCGGCACAATGGTTAAACGTTTGGCTGCAAACCAAAAGCAGTTTGAACCCACCAGCAGCTCTGCAGGAGAAAAGACCTGACAATCTGCTCCTGTAAAGATTACAGCATAGGAAACCCTATGGGACAGTTCTACTCTGTGCTATAGGGTCGCTGTGAGTCAGAATCAACTCGATGGGAAACTACACAACAATCTCAGTTAGGTGGTTTTCCTTAAAGGAGGAATTCTAAACCTTTATTTAAGTGTAACTGACCTTAAAAACTAAAGCAATTATTATTTTGTAAAAACTTAAACTAGACTCTTGTATTTAGTTAGCATTTATTCAGTTAGCATTAGTATATGCTACTCTTTGTACAATTTCTTGGTAATCAATCAAACAGGGAGTTTCTATTTTCCTGTTTACACTTCTGCTTTTATAACACATAAGTCACCACAATAATGATTTTTAGTCATAAAAACAGTAGAGCTCCATTTTTAAAGAAAACTTCTCTTACAGTAAATGAAACCATTTCCGCTTACAAAGGCTTTGTACCACACATTTACATACACTATAGGAAAACAAATGGCAGTTTCTATTCTTGGAGATCTTACGATTTTGATAAAGAGAAAACATTAACAGTAAGCATGATATTATGTTACAAAGAAAAGTTAGTAATTACAAATTCAAGAAAACATAGTACAAACTGAACCCCCAGGGTCAAAAGAGATAATAAATATAAATTTGGGAAATATTTCTGGAGAAATTTTTAAAGTTAGATCTCAAGGGTAAACAAAGCCTTTTGGGGAACATTTCATTGTAGGTAGAGGCAGAAAGGGAAAAAATGTGCTTGAAACAGAAACAAATTTAGAAGTCCTGGCAGAGGGCGGTAATTATTAGATTACAATTATTCTGAGATCAGTTTTATCTCAGACCTATTCATAGCTTGTCATTCTTACCTTTTACCTTTATAACAAGTGCTTGTAACTTACCTTCACTGCCCAAATAGATTGTTCCAAAGGATGAAAAAGTTTGAAACAAAAGCCATCCTTTTTTGATGGACGCTCAATGATTTCACAGGCATTCAGGAGGACTGTTCCTACCCATTGACCATTTTTTTGGGTTTTATAGATCAGTAGCACCCCGGGTTTCAACACACACCACAACTTGGTCCAGCTCTTCAGAGTACCACGGATCTACAGAAAAGTAAGTTTATTTAAGAAATAAAGGTTTGTTTTTCTCTTTCTCTTCCACAGATATAAGCCAAATCATGGCAAAATGGAAGTTTTACTTTAAAATTTTCATAAAATGTACACTTTAGATTCAATAGCTATTTTTAAATAGCTACTAAATGGCAAACACAGCAAATAAAGGTGAATATGTCATGGCTCCTGCCTCTGAGGAACTTAAACTCTAGTAGTAGACTTGGGTGAACAGTTTGAAAATAATATACTAAGTAGAATGGTTTTCCTAACCTGCCTGACTAGGTTAGGAACCATTAAAACATACTACCCTAGTACCAATATTGTCTTCCTCATAGCAGTTACCACATGTCTAATTTTATTAGTGAGAGTATATGATTATTCTGCCTTTTAAATTTTCTTCCCCTCACCACTGCATAAACAATGCTGAAGACACTACTTGGCACCCATCAGACATTCCCTGAACGGTAAAAGAGGAAAAAATTTCCTCCTAGCCCCTAAAATTACCTCCTTTAGATTACTTTATTCTTAGTTATTACAAACTATGCCATATAAATTTCTTGGGGGAAATTTTAAAACACAAGTTACATGAATCTCTCTCTCTCCTCTCTCATAAAATGTTACTAATCCTAGGATTTAATGTTATACCAATAAGGAGTCTATAACTACTTTTTCCTATAAATTTCTGTTTCTGTAATCCATTAAAATTATTTCTGTGCAAGTTACTGAAATCACAATAGTGAAAAGGATGTTAATATAATATTTAGATTAAAATATAAGAATTATCCTCACTTTTATTTATTGTAAAACATCTGTTTTCTCAATGCATTAAGATGTACTGTGAAATAAATATAGGGCCTCTGTCTTAGTCATCTAGAAATACCACAAGTGGATGGCTTTAACAAAGAGAAGTTTATTTCCTTACAGTAAAGTACGCTAAAAGTCCAAATTCAGGGTGTCAGCTCCAGGGGTAGGCTTTCTCTCTCGTTCGGCCTTCTCATCAATGCTCCCCTGGACTAAGAGCTTCGCCCCACAGGGATCCCGGGTCCAAAGGACCCACTCTGCTGCTGGCACTGCTTTCTTGGTGGTATGAAGTCCCCCAGTCTCTCTGCTCACTTCTCTCTTTTATATCTCAAGAGATTGCCTCAGGACACAATCCAATCTTGTAGATTGAGTTCTGCCTCTGTAACACAACTGCCGCCCATCCTCCCTCATTAACATCATAGAGGCAGGATTTACAACACAGGAAAATCACACAATACCGGGAATCACGGCCCAGCCAAATAGATACACACATTTTTTGGGGGGCATAATTCAATCCATGACAGCCTCCTCACCCCAAAAGTAGGCATACTACAGTAATGCTTAAGAAAAAATTAGAAAAAAGGAGTTTGGAGCCAGGCATGAAGAGAAAATGTTTCAGGAAGAGTTATGTAGGTGTGTAAATGACAGAAAGACAAGTGAAAAGGAGGAGTGTCACCTTATTTGAGGTAACATTCTGGATTTTGGGGATGTGACAGTAGAAAACATGGAGGGTAATTTATCACAATGAGGGTAAATAAAGTTTAGGAAGTCAGCCAGGGGTTGTGCTGGAGAATTACTAGGGAAGTGGGCGGAGGAGGGGAGGGTAGCTTGGAGAAATTCAACGTTAAAAGACAAGAGTGGGTGTAGCTCTGAAAAATCCAAGTGTGATGTGGAGCCACAAGAAAAGTTGGAAGGTGTTTCCAGTACAAGATTGAAAAAGAGTCTAGTATTACTTGAATGGCCAGGGAAACTATTCTTAGTGAGAGAACATCTATGACAGATCTCCTAAGGGTTATTGGGTTGCAGCTCTTGCCAACTCATGGGGAAAAGTGGCAAGCTTTCCTGGCTGGGGTGATTCTTAGATGAATGTCAGATGCTAAAACTTCCTGGGAGTCAGAGTTTTTACAAGATCACTCTTAAAGTTACAATTAAGTTGAAAGATTCCTACCAGTTATTCTTCAGAGAAGAATGACAAAGAGAATAGAGTGACTGTGACAAGAGAAAAAGAAAAATAATAATAGGTGGGAATAACCAGAGATCAAAAGAATAGGGCATGGAGAGAGCAATATGTAACTGACAATAAACGCTTTTCAAATGAGAACTTTTATAGTAACGTTGTCTCATCTCTTCTTAATAATACATATACTAAGTCTACAATAATACTAAAGGATAATTTCAATAGAAAGCAAATTTTTTTTACAGTTATTGTATTAGACAATATAATGCTACATATATGGAACTTCTTAAAACAACTGCTATACATACTTGGTGTTACTGTCAAGTGAAACAACATTAAGGTTCCTCCTCCCCATTAAGATTGTAACACAGAACCTCTGGGATACAATTAATAGTTTCTTTGCTAGTGCAAAACAATCATCTTAGGAGTTGTTTTTTGTCTTGTGGGTTTTAGGTACACTCTGGGCTTTAAAATTCCAGTAGGTAAACATCCAACAATTTGAAGTCAAGATTCAGTACAAACTGACCTTCAACCAATCAGCCATAACAATAACAGAAGGGTCTGTGATTGTACTGAGTAATTCCTTTGTGGCTCTTTTCTTTTCTTCTCGGTAATTTTTCTTTTGCACCTATTTTTATAGAAATAATAGAAAAACATAAAAAACTCAACAGAAATGGGCTTTTCTGCCCCAATTTTTCAGGTCTATAGAATGTAGAGTACAAAATTCTCAACTTTTTTAGAATTCTAGCATCTTAGAATAAAAGTTTTGTTTTTTTTTTAAGACTGAGAGAAATTTTTAGAGAACCAAGGTTAAAATATAATTTTTCTGATTACCAGTCCAGTTCTCTGTATCTTTTTAAAAGAATTTTATCTTTTTAATTATACAACATATGAATACAGTACTCAGGGCAAAAATTTTAAACTACACAAATAAAGCTAAATGCTGGCTTTATTATACCCCTTTCTAGTCCAATCCCTAAAAGCTAAATGCTGGCTTTATTATACCCCTTTCTATTCCAATCCCTAGAATTGACCACCGTGAACCATTTCGAAAATATCATCGAGATCTCTTCTATACATAAACATGTATATAACCTATAGAAATACATAGCTTTTTGGGTTTTTTTTTAAACATATGAAAAATGTTTGCCCATTCAATATTCTTTGGAGAGTTTTGCACGTCTGCCTCATTCTTTTAGCTCCTGCAGAGAATTTCTAGTGTGAATAAAATAATAACAGATAATACTGAGTGCATACTGTGTACCAGTCATTGTTTTAAGCACTTTACGTGTATTATCTCATTTAATCCTCACAATAACCTTGTGAATTAGAACTATTATTTTATTTTACAGATGAGTAACGTGTCTAGGATTACACAGCTAGTAAGTGGTAGAGGAAGGATTTCAACAGAGGCAGACTGGCTCCAAATTCCATACTCCTAACCATCATGCTATACTGCTTCTACAGTTTTTCTTAATGCATTCTCTTCTTGATGGAAATCTACTTTGTTACCAGTTTTTCCATATTACAAACAATGCTGCAATTGTTCGCATTTGCAGTTTTGCTCTCTTTCCTGATACTTACATAAGATATAAATAACATAATGGAATTAATTCATTCAAAATGTTATCAGAGTTTTATTTTCATAAGTTAGTTCTGACAAAATCTGGGACAGCAGCAGATTAATGTAGTCTTTTTTTTTTTTTTTAATTGTACTTCGGGTGAAGGCTTACAAAACAAATAGTTTCTCATGAAACAGTAGTACACATATTGTTTTATGACACTGGTTAACAACCCCACAACACGTCAACCCTCTAACTTCTCAACCTTTTTGGTGAAAATACACATAGCCAAAGATACACCATTTCAAAAACTTCTACATGCACAGTTCAGTGACATTGACTACACTCTTCCAATTGTGCTGTTATGCTCACTTAAGATGAAGGCTTACAGAACAAAATAGTTTCTCATTTAACAGTTACTACAAATGTTGCCCTATGACAATGGTTAACAATCTCACAACACATCAACAATATCCCTACTCAACCTTGGGTTCCCTATCACCAGCTTCCTTGTCCCTTTCTGCCTTCTGGCCCTTGTCACTGGACTACTGTACCTCGTTAGTCTCATAATGTAGTCTTATTACTTTGTTGTAGTTGTGATTTGGGTGGGGGAAGAGTGGTGATAACTTACCAGTGATTACGTTCTTTTCTAAACTTTAACACAAAATCTTCCACCACAAAAGTTGCATTTAATGGTAAAGAGACTACATAAGCATAACAACAAAATTTTAATAATTCTACAGCCAGAAAACTTTATACACTTTTGGTCTTCAGTAATATGCATATCTGGATTAACAACAGAATTAACATGGGATTGCAAATACAATTGCATACCGGGCCCAGGCATGGAATGCAAAATGATAAAACAGGCTAGACTGGGACCAGAGCCAATTAGAAAGCATGTGTTCCTTAAGCTCCACGTTCTGTGATCATTTAAAAAAAAGCAGGCCCAGCATTACATATTTCTTAAGTTGAAAGTCTGGATTTTTTTAATTGTTGGCTCAAAATTTTTAACTATCATGCAGGCCAAACAAAACATTATCTGTGGGCTAAAATCAGCCCGTGACCTAGCAGTTAGCAAACTAATTTCCATGGGCCCCAGAACATCCCATCAGGTATCCCACAACACAGAGATATACCAGACTGCAGGATGGGTGTGCGGAGGTGTCAAGTCCTTAGCCCCTGCAGTAGTGGCCAGGTGAGGCCTGAAGTAGCCCTGGGACCATCACCAAGCAGCCTTACTAGTTGGCCCAGTGTACTATATAAATGTTCACATTTTCCATGTGTGCCTGTCAGTCTCTCTCTCTGGATTTTTTTTTTTTTTTTTCCTTTCTTTTGGGAAAGTTATAGGTTCTTAGACTATTAGCCTGCTTTCAAAAACACATGCAAAGTACCATGTCAGTTACTGTCTAAAAATAATTGTGGAAACTAACCTTAAGAGATTCTTTTTTTGTGAGCTTGCTTGAAGCTGAACTGTCTTTCTCCGAGCCATTATAAAGTTTAGATTCAGACTGAAATCACATAGAAATGAACAGAAGAGAAATAATAATTACCTATTCTACACGTGGCATATAAAGGTTAATGTCAAAGCTGTTTGTGACACTCTTCCCGTTTAATGCTGTGATTTATGCAAATGTAAATTTTTGAATACCATTTTTTTCTATAAAGTATTTGTGTTTAAAAAGTAATACACCCACTCGTCACTCTTCAACATGGTTAGGTTCCAAAGACCAGGTTGCTATGCAAAAACTGGCATTACACAAAAATGGAGTTCAAAGGCAGAGTCCACCCCTGCGCCCCCGCACTCTTCGCTCAAGCAGGCTGTTAAGCCCTAGTGTAAGGCTGTGTTCTGCTTGAGAGAGGCCTGCAACTGGACTAATGGGCTGAGCTACAGGCCTGTACACAGCTGTTCCGGGGCCCTGCCACAACACCCGCAGCGTCCTGTACACCTTCAGCCAGTCATTCAAACTGTCCTCATCTGGGAGACATTGCTGAGTGCGGTCGCTGAGCAAGCGACCTGAGATGCTGCAGAGCCTGCACAGTGTCTTGGCATTGTTACTGCCAGATGGACATCATTAATGCTCCAAACAGTCGGGCAGTAGATTTTTTACTATTGTGGTAAATGCGAAATGTCTGATGAGACAGTTGGTAAGCGAGGAGTAGGTGTATATGTTAAGCCCACATGCACACACACACACAAAACTACATAATAAAATTACAATATGACGTTAAACAAGATCATCTGTAAATTTTTGCATTCTCTTTTCCAGAAAAATTTCAAGGAACATATACAATTATTTAGTTACTTTTAGGACAAAAGTAGGTGGAGCAATGTAATTTTGTAACAGTTGAAATAGTCTAAATAAAAAACTGAACTATGTAAATTCTAGCAAGTTACTGCACACATTGTCCTGCTGCTACTCCTTCCTGAATGTGAAGAAATATTCTTTGAAACTAGTATTAAACCACTTTAATTTGTACAGTTTTTAAAAACCAATATTCCTAGCATCTACTTCTTAGCTATCTAACGCCCCTAAATGGTTACTAATGAATTAAACTGTTTTAAGACTTTCAGTTTATACTTAATATTTTTATTTGATCTTTATAAGAACCTTGAGAAATGGGTATAACAAATGCCTTTATCGTCATTTGAGATTATGAAAGGGTGACTCAAAGAGCTTGATTTTCCAAACTATCAAAAACATCAGAGACTGGGTCTCCTAGTCCAGTTTTTTTTAATAAATAATATTTTATTGTGTTTTAGGTGAAAGTTTACATAGCAAATCAGGTTCTCCTTTAACAATTTTTAAACAAATTATTCTGTGCCATTGGTTACAATGTTTTACAATGTGTTAGCATTCTCATTATTTCTATTCTGTTTGTTCTGTTTCCATTGATCTAGCTTCCCTTACCCTCCTTGCCTTCTCAGCTGTGTTTCTGGGTAACTGTTGTCTGTTTGGTCTCATATAGTTAATTGTTTAAGGGAGCATATTACTGACAGGTGACACTGTTTATTTTATAAGCCAATCTATTATTTGGCTGAAAGGTGACCTGCAGAAATAGCTTCAATTCCAAGTCCAAAAGGTATCTTAGGGCAACTGTCTCGGGGGTTCCTCTAGTCTCTATCGGTCCAGTAGGTCTGGCCTCTTTTAGGAATTTGAGTTTTGTTCTCCATTTTTCTCCCATTCTATCCAGGACCTTCTACTGTGTCCCTGGTCAGAATGGTTGGTAGTGGTAGCCGGGCATCTAGTTCTGGTCTAAGGTTAGAAGAAGTTGTGGTTGTGTGGGTAATGTCATGGACTAGTTTCTTCTTTCAGCCTTTGATTTCCTTCATTCTCTTTTGCTCCATACAAGTAGAGACCAATAGTTGTATCTTAGATGGCCTCTCGCAAGCTTTTAAGACCCTAGATGCTACTTATCCAATGCTCTTTTAAGAAGATCACATTCTCTCACCAAGTAGAAAAGCACAAATCTAAAAGTTGTTTCTATAAACCTTGGAAGAATTAAACTGTATATATTCCTTCAAAGTCCTATTATTTACATTTTTGTCTATTGTTGTTAGAAATGGGAGAAGATTATTTATAGTTTTTAGCAACATCCGTAATGCAAAGAAAGTATTAGTGGCTGTTTGATCCAAATGGTGGCTTTTAAATGTTGAATGGCCAGATCCGCATAATATCACTAGATATGATTAAGGATAAAAAAACCTTTGGGTACAAACTCCGTCAGTCAACTTTAAGATCCATAAGGGCATGCCCCATGTTAATTTACCAATGATACCCATTGGGGAAAATAAAGTACGCCATAAATACCTACTGAATTAATAAAATAAAAATGAGACTGGTATTTTTAGCTCATTTCATTGCTCTCAAAAATGAATCTGCCACTTGGTACTAAATTTGGGTGATTATGGTGATGGTAATATCTGGCAGAACTACAAAGGAACTGCAAACAATGTTCAATATAGAAGGTAGAGGTTAACCTAGTAAAACCTCTGTTAAAGTTACTCCTTTTAGAACTAAACTTGAAACATCACACTGCTTGCTCCCATGATGACAGCAAATACTGTGATAGCAAAATAGTTTCACAAAATTTCTCGAGCCAAACAGGTCTCTGTCTTCTCGTTGACCCTGGTAACCCAAAAATGCCACAACCACTATAAGAGGAATATGAATGTTCAAAATTATCAGGAGATTCTATTTCCCACAGCTTAATAAGAAAATGTATATTGCAGTTTACGTCTTAGATACTATTAAATGAAGATACTAACAGTATTAGCTTAAAAATTAATGAAAATTAATGGCTGTTTACTTTTTACCAAGTAATATGTTAAACAGCTTATGTGAACTACCTCCTTTAATCTTGTGAGTTAGCAGGAGTATCTTCCTTTTACAAATGAGAAAACTAAGACTGATGGATAAATAACTTCTCAAAGTCACACAGCCAGTAAGTAGTTAAGCTGAGATTGGTACCTAGTCTGTCTAGTTCTCAGCCATTTCACTATACTGACTACTCATCTTTTAAACCTGTTCATACAGCATCTCAGTCAGATTCAAATTTAAGGCTTATCTTAATGAGCAAGAAAAGAATTCGTTTCCCCTATGTCTTAGTTATCTAGCGCTGCTCTAACAGAAATACCACAAATGGATGGCTTTAACAAAGAGAAATTTATTCTCTCACAGTCTAGTAGGCTACAAGTCCAAATTCAAGGCATCAGCTCCAGGCGAAGGTTTTCTCTCTGTTGGCTCTGGAGGAAGGTCCTTGTCATCAGTCTTCCCTTGGTCTGGGAGCAGCTCAGCACAGGAACCTCAGGTCCAGAGGACGCGCTCTACTCCCAGCACTGCTTTCTTGGTGGTGTGAGTTCCCCCATGTGTCTCTGCTCACTTCTCTCTTTTATATCTCAAAAGAGATTGGCTTAAAACAGCTACCTAATCTTGTAGACCTCATCAATATAACTGCTGCTAATCCACCTTATTACATCATAGAGATAGTAGCAGTTACAACACATAAGGAAATCACATCAGATGATAAAATGGTAGACAATCATACAATACTGGGAATCATGACCTAGCCAAGTTGACAGATATTTTGGGGGGATACAATTCAATCCATGATACCCTACAACTCCAAATGACAAGATCCGTTTTGGCGATTCCTAAAAGATTCCAGTATGTTAAGGGATCAGCAGACCAGAAGGGTGTCACATGAGCTTGATAAATCAAAGCACACATATCTCAAGGCATCCTTGCCTATTACACAGTCTAGTTCTGAATAAAAAAGAACAAACCAGTGACTGAGTTCTACAATCTTTTAAGAACATTACTACCTAAGCTGTCTGCATAAATAGTTTACTTTTAAATATCAAAATACTATAAACAATTTTTGTTGGCAATATTTTACTAAGTTTCACTGTCTTTATAAACCCTACTGACCACTCTCTTAATGAAGACCACAGAGTTTAGTGTCCAGGACTGCTTGCCTCTTCATTAAATGGCCTTAGAATGCTCAGCATGTTATATTTTTACTTCTTTCTTTCTCGCCCCACCCCCGCGCCCCGCCCAAAACCTCAAATGTTGTTCCCTACTGGCTGTGTGACTTTGGGAAGTTAAAATCTGTCAGTCTAATTTGTAAAACAAAGATGCTGTTAGCAACTCATACAGTTGCTTTATGACTTAAATGAGGTAATGTACTATATAAGGTGTTTAACATAGTACTTGGCATATATTGTGTTTTAGGTTTATAAATATACTCCAGATTGTAGACACTGTCAAAAATCTAATCTTTAGGTAAATGGAGCATTAACGTATGCGAATACTTGTGACTTGCTTTGAAAACTATAAAATACTATAGATATATAAAACAATAACAATAAGGTGACTACAGTCATTGTGACTATATATTTTGGTTTGGAATTTTTTAAAATGTCCAGGTAAATAGATTTTTACAGGAAGTGATTAGATGACTTAGAAAACCTCAGGCAAGGAGATTGATGGCTAGAGAATCAAGTCAAGAAACTTGGGCTCTATGCTTGTGAGAGGTTTCCTTTTATCCAATACACATATTATTTAATGCTGGTGATTCCTTTTGTTGAGATGGACAATTAAAAGTTCATTTAAAAACGTCACTTGGTCTTATTAATAACAAGAAGATGGGATAATAAACTTTTCCAATTCACTCATTCATACAGTGAAAATGGTTAGGAAGTAATTCATGAGAATAAGGGACTGTCTTTATTTAAAAAAATGTTTTGAGGGTGAGGTGGTGTATTCCATTGTGTTTACTGGACTCAATTATGCATTTTAAGAAACAACACTAAGCCACAAATCCTAAGATCAAAATGACAACATTGAAACTTTTTGCAGCAGGTTCATAAAAGTATAAAGTAAAATTATTTGATAGTCTCAGTTATGTAGATAAATCATAGAAGGAATGACAAAATTTCGTTCTCCAAATTTACTTAGGTAAGAATAAAAATGTTCAGAATTCCATGAGAATGAGGTTTAATGGCAAATGCATGAGTTTTATAATTGTGAAAAACAACAGAGTGGGTAATGTGTTAACATATTTAGAAACAAACTAGTGACTATGGATCTCTTAAATTGACAGAATAAACCTAGATTAAATCTAAGTTAAGAGAGAATCAGTAAATTTCAGCTCTTGAAAAATAACAAGAGTATAATTTTACTTATACAAATAGCTACTAATGCTAAGAGTCCAACTTATTCACTGTAATTCTTTATTTAAAGGAAGAAAATTAATTCTTAATGTCAAGCACTTTCTGCATCAAAATTTGAGAGGTAGATCTTATTCCTATTACACAGATAAGACAACTGAAGCTATCTGAATTCTAGCTCTAGTACTAATTATTCTGATCCCTAAAAAAGTTACCTAATTTCTCTAAGCTTCACTTTGTTCCCTTATAAAATAGGACTAACAATACTTGTTTTCTAGTATTGTTATGAAAGTTAAAATGACAAATAAGTTCTCAATACAAAGGAAACTGTTAACACCATTGTAATTAGTAACTGAGAAGTCATAGGTAATAGATGAGAGTCAAGACTCAAACTTGGCTCTTTTGACTCTAAAGCTGCACTGTTCACTAGAACTTTCTGAATGACAAAAATGTTCTATTATCTGAGCTGTCCAATATGGCAGCCACTAGTCATATGTGGCTACTGAGCACTTGAAATGTGGGTAGTGTGACCAAGGAACTAAACTTCTAATTTTATTAATTTAAATTTAAAGAGCCACGTGTGCCTAGGGGCAACCATACTGGACAGTGCAGCCCTAAAGCCATGTTTTCTTTTTTCATTATTGCACACTGCTTCATTAAGGTATGCAAAGTTTCTTTTCAGCCTCCCTTCCCCCAATGGCTGTTTTTAAAGGCTACCTAGAGGTGTCTGTGGTATGTAGGTCTTTGGGTTAAGTGTTTAGGCTTCGGAGTATGAAGACCATTATGCCATATATTCACCAATTCTAATATTAATTGTTTCAACATAGGTTGTTTTTATCCTATAAATTTCATTTTATTTCTAGCCAGGGTAGACCCAAGATAAATTTAATTTTCTTCAATTACACTTCATGTAAAATGATCAAGGTACTTGATCACTGCACTGTATACACACACACACACACACACATACACATATACACTTGATCAGTGTATACATGTTAAGTGTATATATGTTATACAAAAAACAAAGTACTATTAAGCCTCCTCCTAGGTACTTTTCACATATGTAGATGGACCTTTATGCAATGAATACTTGAAAAGTTAAATGTTAATAAAATTTGTGTAAAATTATACATATAAACATACTGTGGAATCCTCTCAACCACTCCCAGGAACTGGAGCAAAAAATGTAAGCCTGCAAGAATAATATCTACTGCTGGTATTAGCTAGAGACTTTACCAGCTTAAGAAGTCGGTCTTCTTACAGACACTGAAGTTTGATTCTACAAGCATAAAAGTTTCCTCCTGCTACTAAATATGACCAGAAATAGCAGTCAAAAGTCAAATCCTTTACAAAACTATAGAAAGTTTAGTAAATTATAAACTCATAGGGAAACCAGTGCATCAAAAAGTGTTTTTCAAATTTGAATACGTACTCATAAAGAAAAAGCTCTCTCAGACCTAAGAATATGCACAAGTATCCCAGCTGAGAAATGCTGATTGAGGAAACTATGTCTCAGTCTAAGAAAATATCTTTTAATTGCAGGCTTTCACTGCAAGAGCTCTCTGGCCTTTAACTGATAAAATGTATATATTTTCACTGTCATCTGGGTAAACTCAAAATATTTCAGTTTTTAAAAAAATCATGAACCCTGAGAATACCTCTGAATGGAACATTCAAATGCTAGTTTGAGAAGTACTATTGTAGCAGACATACCATAAACAATATAATTCTGGAAAGAACACTGATTACCAACACTCTATTTCCAAGTAATCAACAGTATTTAAATCAGTCACAGTGGAACTTTACTTTTATCATACAAACTACATGGTTTAGATAAACATAAAAAATATCCAATAAAAATCTGATAGATTCTAAGTGTTAGTTCTCTCATCTTAAATATTGGAAAAGTGCAATAATAATATATTATTATTATGTGCTTACCTTGCTCTTTGACATAGAAAGTGAAGATTCATCTTTATTTTGAGAAACATCTTCCTTTCCTCTTTCAAAACCTTTAAAAAAAAAAAAGGTCATTGTATCAGCATTACTACTTTTAAACATATATATGCCTTAATGCTGAAAAACAAATTCATGTAAGTCATATAATTTTAAATAAACATAATATTTGATGAACACCAGTGCAGAATGCCTAGACTGTACATACAGCTTTAAACTATTATAAACCCCTAGAGGTTATCTCTAGTATAAATACTTCTTTAGAATTAATTAAGGCCTAGAGAGGCAATAAGGAGCCCTAGTGATGCAACAGTTAAGCACCTGGCTGCTAACCAAAGGGTTGGTGGTTCAAACCCACACAGCAGATCTGCAGAAGAAAGACTTGGCAGACTGCTTCTGTAAAGATTACAGCCAAGAAAATCCTATGGAGTAGTTCTACTCTGTCACATGAGGTCACTATGAGTCAGAACTGACTCAATGGCATCCAACAAGAGTATAGAGGCAATGAAATCTTCTCCTGACTTAGAACAAACTGTCTCTTTTCTGTGCTCCCAAAGCATAGAGTTTTTATTCTAATGAACTGGTTTCTGATGGTTTCAAACAAATAATAGAACAAACTCACCATACTTTTCATGCCTCTTACTAAACTGAAAATACAAGTCCAGAACTGGTAGCAAAATAACATTGGGGGAATAAATCTGGATTGAGACACAGATATTCTTAAAAACCTAATAACATGTTCAAATATGCTCAGTATTTCTCAAGCTGAAAGAACTGAAGGAAAATTCAAGCCTCGAGTTGCAGTATTGAGGATACCACAGGGAAAATACTAAATGACACAGGAAGCATCAAAAGTAGATGGAATGAATACACAGAGTCACTGTAGCAAAAAGAATTAGTCGATGTTCAACCATTTCGGGAGGAAGCATATGATCAGGAACTGATGGTACAGAAGGAAGAAGTCCAAACTTCCCTGAAGGCACTGGCGAAAAACAAGGCTCCAGGAATTGACGGAATACCAATTGAGATGTTTCAACAAACAGATGCAGTGCTGGAAGTGCTCACTCATCTATGCCAGGAAATTTGGAAGACAGCTACCTGGCCAACCAACTGGAAGAGATCCATATTTATGCCTATTCCCGAGAAAGGTGATCCAACCAAATGCAGAAATTATCAAACAGTATCATTAATATCACACGCAAGTAAAATTTTGCTGAAGATCATTCAAAAGCAGTTGCAGCAGTACATCAACAGGGAACTGCCAGAAATTCAAGCCGGGTTCAGAAGAGGATGAGGAGCAAGGGATATTATTGCTGATGCCAGATGGATCCTGGCTGAAAGCAGAGAATACCAGAAAGATGTTTACCTGTGTTTTATTGACTATGCAAAGGCATTCAACTGTGTTGATCATAACAAATTATGGATAACATTGTAAAGGATGGGAATTCCAGAACACTTAATTGTGCTCATGAGGAACCTGTACATAGATCAAGAGGCAGTCGTTTGGACAGAACAAGGGGATACTGCATGGTTTAAAGTCAGGAAAGGTGTGCATCAGGGTTGCATCCTTTCACCATACTTTTCAATCTGTATGCTGAGCAAATAATCCAAGAAATGGGACTATATGAAGAAGAACGCAGCATCAGGATTGGAGGAAGAATTACTAACAACCTGCTTCATGCAGATGATACAACCTTGCTTGCTATAAGTGAAGAGGACTTGAAGCACTTACTGATGAAGATCAAACACCACAGCCTTCAGTATGGATTACACTTCAACATAAAGAAAACAAAAATCCTCACAACTGGACCAATAAGCAACATCATGATAAACGGAGAAAAGACTGACGTTGTCAAGGATTTCATTTCACTTGGATCCCCAATCAACACCCATGGAAGCAGCAGTCAAGAAATCAAAAGACACATTGCAGTGGCAACTCTGCTGCAAAAGACCTCTTTAAAGTGTTAAACAGCGGAAATGTCACTTTGAAGTCTAAGGTGCACCTGACCCAAGCCATAGCGTTTTCAATCGTCTCATATGCACGCGGAAGCTGAACAGTGAATAAGGAAGACCAAAGAAGAACTGACATTGGAATAAGTAATTCTCAATGACTAGCATAAATTACTTCAATGATCTTCTAAACATATGTGCAAGAGAACAAAGATTTTCTAAAAATATATATTTTGAATGAAAAAAGATGTTATCTTTTTATTTCACAGGAACAGACTTTTGCTTCAATTCCTCTACTGAGTTCCTGGTTGCAGTTAAATATAGACTAATCCATTTATCAGATGAAGAAAAACATCCAATTCACTGTGTCTGGACTCACATACTATTTTAAAAATAAAACAATGAATTAAAACAAAAGCAGGAAGCATAAATTGGAATAGATTTTTTAATGTCTTGTAGAAAGTTCTAAGTGTTGGAAAAGGACTCTTGTAACCTCATTTGTACGTTATCTGTCAAACTCAATAAATGAATCCCATTTTTAAAGATTCTCTACACCTAAAACTTAAAAATCAAGTAATTATTTAAAAAAGAAAGCACCGAGGACTTCCAAGTAATTTAAAATTAAAAAGGGATAAAGCAAAATGCTCCCTAAAACATCCAGTCTGATCAAACACTTTAAGTTACAGCTAAGGGCAAAAAAGTAGAAGAATAGATAAAAATTGGTTTCCTAAAAATGTGCAAAGTAATCTTTATCTGAAAAAGTCAGTCACAAAACTACATTTATGAGAAGCCAAAAGGGCTCTATCAAAATACTTCAAAAGCTTTTATTAATTTCTACTATGTATGAAGATTCCAAATTACTTAAAAATTATATTTTTAAAAACTATATAAATTATATTTATACACAAAATCATGAAAACTACAACACATTATTGGCCATTATAAATAATGCAGGGTAGTCTCAGATCATGACTTTTCAGCAAGTTTGCTTGGTAATGATTTTGGGTAATAATTTCTCTTCCAACCATCCTCCCCACTAAAACAAACAAAAACCAGTTGCCATGAAGTCTATTCTGACTCATATCAACCCAATGTGTTTCAGAGTAGAACTATATTCCACAAGATTTTTAAGGGCTGTGACCTTTTGGAAGTAGATCACCACACCCTTTTTCCAAGGTGTGTATGGGTAGGCCTTTCGGTTAATAGGCGAGTGCTTGAGTGCACCATCTATGGACATCAAATTATTATGCTATTTACATATAAACACGATGAAAGTCTTTTGTCAAAGCTAGTTTTCAATATGCCAGGCAAACAGAACACAAAAAGTCCTAACCAAAGAAAAAAATAAATTTTTTGATAATTGATAAAAATCGACTTTGTTTAATAAGGAACTTCTATTCATTTAAAAGACATTGTGAAGGGAATAACAAACAAAGCCACAGGATGAAAGAAGATACTTCAAAATGTATATACACTCACTCCTCACTTATCAACATGGTTAGGTTCCAAACACCAGGCTGTTATACGAAAATGGGTGATATGCGAAAATGGAGGATTTTTTTTTTTCTGTTTTCAGACCATCTGTTTGTCTGATTTTTTTTTTAATTTAGAAAATATGGCCATAAAAGTAATAACAGCTAAGATTTACTGATGTGCTCATCACTGTGACGAATCTAATTATGAATTAATCCTCTGCAGAAAAGGAGGCTTGGAAGAGACAAAGCTGGCTAAGGCCGGGCTGTGTGACTGGAGGGCCCAAGGCTTGAATCACTTCACCTTCATCAGGTGCTAGGTCAGACCTTACCTCAGAGATCCACCTCCAGGGATCCACTCCCACCCCTGCAAGCCCTGTGTTCATGATCCAGGAGCATGCTCTGCCCTCTGGGCCTAGCGAGGGATGGAGGTTTGGGGCTTCCTGTGAGGGTGCTGGGAGCCTGGCCTAGCACTCCATCTCACCAAGGCAGAGGCTTCAGGCCCATTTCAGCTCACTTTGGGATGTCATTAAATTTGCATGCATTTCTTCCAAACATCCTCTCTGTTGCCTCTTTCTTTCCTCCCTTTCCACCCCACAGCAGTTTTGAGCTGCAAGGCCTCAGGCTGCATAGGAGCTGGAAACTCAGATCAGGTGCCTGCTGGCTTGATGGTGCCTGCTAGTCCACCCGGAGGCTGTGGCCATGGAGGAGGCTGGCTGCACGACAGCTGGACGCAGCGCCCCTGCCGGCAGGAGGGAGCGGAAGGCATGGGTTAGCAGGGCCCAGCTTCCTGAAGGTCACCTAGGGACCCTCCTTGAGGGAGGAGATGATCCCACAGCTGTTGCTGCAAGGCCTGCCATGCTCATTAATGAGAAAAATAGTCAGATAATAGATTTTTTACTATTGTCATAAATGCGAACTGTCGGATGACTAGATAGTTATAAGTGAGGAGTAGGTGTATAACAAAGGACTCATAAGTAGAAAATATACAGACGTTCTACAGATCAGTAAGGAAAAGACAAACATGATTTTTTTAAATGGGCAAACGAATTAACAGGCACATGACAAAAAACACATCCAAATAACTAGTAAGTACATAAAAAGATGGTTAACCTCGTTGTCATAGTGACATCATTAGTCATACTGCGGTGAGTGGTATAGAAATAGAGTTTTTAAATGTTACTGAAGTTAAGCTGTATCAATTTAAACTAGGTTGTTATAAATTTAAGATGTTAAATGTAATTCTCATGGTGACTGCAAAGAAAATAACTAAAAAATATTCACAAAAGGGAAGAAGGGAATCAAAATGGTTCACTACAAAAACTCAACTAAACATATATGACGGTAATATTGGAGGAAATGAGGGACAAAAAGGGTATAAGACACACAAGATCAAGCAGAAATAAATGAAATATCAGAAAAACAGTAGAGAGAATCAATGCAAAAGAATGAAATTAGACCCATACCTCACACCATATACGAAAACTAACTCAAAATGGATCAAAGACTGAAAGGTACAACCTAAAACCATAAAACTCTTAGAAGAAAAGACAGAGGTAATGCTTCAGGACTTGGTATTTAACGACGGATTCTTAGCTATGACACTGAAAGCACAAGTAACAAAAGGCAAAATA